CTCCAGCTGTTATGCATCAACAGCAGCCGCACATGGCAGCTGATATTGTCAATCAGCAGATGCAGCCTCAAATTGAAGATGATAATAAGTCAAAAATTATGAATTCTACTAACGGTGTTGTTAATAATTATACTACTGCTAGCTCAGTTTATACTCCATATGAAAATGCTAAACCTTTAATGTCTACCAACCAAGATCATCATGCTCCATCTTCTAAAACGGTTCAACAGTCAGCTCATCCAATACCGCAAGAACCTCAAGGAAATCCTCCAATAAGCAACCTGGAGATAGGCTCGCCAGCACCTCAACAAAATCCAAATCAGCCACCTTCACTGGCCCCTATAAAAGAGGAACAAACAGTCAAATCCTTAGCTAATGGCCAAGTTGAAGAAGATAAAAGCAATGACAGTAAAACTAAGCTGATCGAGATGGTGGTTCTTGTTATTCTAATCGCCTTGCTATTGATACTTGGTATCCAATGGTTAGGAAACTCAAGCAAGAAGAATTGATTAAGATTAAATATCTATTATCAATTGTTTTCGATATCTAACCATTTGATTTAACTTTCAATATCAGAAGTATAAAGAAAGCTTTGTAAAAACCGCTTGTTAAATTTTCTGGTAAAATTTGAGTCCATGGTCTGTGAATATTGCAATGTAGCTAAAGCAGTTATTCTGAGATCAAAAAGCAGAAAGAAAGTGTGCAAAGAATGTTTTTATGAGCAGTTTGAAAATGAAATACACCAGTTGGTGGTTGAGAGTGCTATGTTTGAGAAGAATTCGCGTGTTGGGATTGGAATAAGTGGTGGAAAAGATAGCACAGTTCTAGCTTATGTTTTGAACAAACTGAATATCAAATACAACTATGGGCTTGATCTGGTTTTACTGTGTGTTGATGAAGGAATAAGTGGATATAGGGACAAATCAATAGAAACGGTTTTGGAAAATCAAAAAATTTTAAATATGAAATTGGAGACAGTAAGCTACAAGGAAATGTTTGGAATGACTATGGACGAAGTGGTCCAAAAGACTGGGAGGAAAGGAAATTGCACATACTGTGGGGTATTTCGGAGACAGGCCCTTGAAGAGGCTGCCAGAAGATTAAAGGTAGACTGTATTGTGACTGGACATAATGCTGATGATATGGCAGAGACTGTACTTCTGAATTTCTATAGAGGAGATATTTCGAGATTGAAAAGATGCGCATTGAGTAAAACTAAAGAGCATATTAGTGATGAAAATACAAAGAAGCACCTTTCATTGGCGAGATGCAAGCCCTTCAAGTATACATATCAAAGAGAAATAGTTTTCTATGCTTATTTCAAGAAATTGCCTTATTTTACAACTGAGTGCACATATGCGTCGGGAGCCTCAAGAGGAGACTTCAGAGAGCTGGTTAAGGATCTCGAAAGAATAGATCCAACAATTATAATTAATATTATTAAAAGTGGCGAGATGTTCTTAGAGGACACACCTACAAATTTAATTATCAAAAAATGTTTAAGGTGTAAAAACCCAACGTCATCTGCTGATCAAATATGCAATGCCTGTTCGATGGTTGAAAAACTGAGTAGAATAGTCAAAGAGTGTTGTAAGGAGTGATATATCGATAACCGTGAGACATATTTTTGCTTGGCGAAATGTTCAAACAAGGATATTAATTTAGCATCAACTTATTGATTGTATATAAATAGGTATGTGGTTGGCAATTCAAGTAGAAGCGTTTCATAGCGTTGTTTGTGCCAGAATTTTTTCAGTGCTGTATTATATACTTTTTATGATGGTAAAGATGATGTCAGAGTCTCCTTATTGCATCACGTTCCTTATTTTTCGTTCGCTAGTCAAGATTTAACCCCTTTAAATTTATGAATAAATCTCAGTCATTTGTTTCTATATAATGAGTAGTCTAATATTTGCGATTTGGCCATATATCGCGTATGCTACTGCTACAGAAGACATGCCGAATAAATTATGGAATGCTAACACCGCTCGTAGAACATTACAATCATTTGTACGCCAAATCAGAATCTATATCTGGTCTTCTAACCAGCGATGCTTGTAAAACTCATAGAAACTTACTTGATGTTAACATCACTGTTGCTACAATATTAAATATTCTAGAGACGCAAGCCAAGTTTCAGACTGAGATATCATTTATTAATTGGAATGAGAACTTGAGTCTCATTAGTGTCCAAACATCACAATTGCTAGAAACTGCCTTTTTCGATAGTGAATATTTTAAATACGATACTAAAAATGATCCTGGTTTATAATTATGGATGACGAAATTAAACAGCAAGTAAACAAGAGTACTTTTCTTTCAGTGTTGTTCAGCATGTTCACTGGGGTAGATCAAAAGAAAGAATTCGCCATGCTTCTTTATGAAATGCTGATCCATGACCTTGTTAGTATAGGCATTGAGGGCGAAATACTGGACATAATCAAAGGAAAAATTGAAAAAATTTTACTTAATCTTAATGATTTGTGTAGATCCTTGCAATGGTATATTGGAAGAAACACACCTGATTATGAAGCCAACATACAATTCATGGCTGATGTTCAAGTCGTTTACAATCCTACAGAAGTAAGTGGGGGATTGTCATATGCACAAGTTAGTTCTGCAGTTGATAGTATGCTCATACAGCCCTTACGTTCAATGTTTCAAAAAGGTATAAAAGAAGAGCAGACATCCAAGTTAGACAACAAAAAATTGGCTAAACTGGCAGAAGATTTTAGCCATAAATATAGTAAAGAAATAGTGCCAGATGTATGTAGACTGTATCATATATATTTTCTACATCAAATTTGCATATTGAAAGGAATTGATAAGGACAGTGATAAGAATATCGATTACAAGCCAGTATTTACGAGAATATTTTCAAATATTGAAATCTTAGATGCTATCTCATGCATTATTTCATCGATACCCGTGATTTGCAGGATGCAAAGGGTGATACGAACAGAAATGCTTAGCAAGGTAGTTTTAGATGGGATAAATTACGAGCTGCTGGATAAAACTATTGAAAATATGCTGAAATCTTCTAAAAACTTGCCGAGTGGGATTCTAAAAGTGTTGGTTGATAAAACAACAGTGGTTTTGAATGAAAATATAAAAAATGTAAAATTTTTCTTTGATGATATTAATGATGTTACTTCCGTGCTGAAAAACGCATTATTTCTGTCTACTTTTAGAGTTAGCCAAGCAGAGCACTTGGATGACTTCATTCAGTTGGCTTCTGCGATAAAAAACAAAGCTATACTGAAAAGAACACTGGCAGTCTATTCATTCCCACTCATTTTGAGAGCCTTGACGTCTGGAGAGTCGCTAGCTAAAGCTTCTATTGATAAACTTAGTAAAAGTAAGAGCCTTCTAAAAATATCGGTCTCAAAGCTTCATACAGGTAGCATTAAACCATTAACTCATGAGATTTTCAGAAAATGTTCATCAGCTTTGAAAAGAATGGAATTAATAGAATCTTACAAGACATATGCCTTGTACACACTCATACTTCTAGTTGTATTTGACTTTATTTTACTTGTATTGGTTGTCAGTTCACCTAAATTCTGAGGATCAAGAGCATGCTCAGATCTACCCGCACAGCAAATGATTTCTCACACAAACCTATTTATTTGGTTGATATCGAGTTTACAATTGAAAACACATGACTGTCTATTTGATATTAGTAATAAATTGGCTGTTTTACAATATTCTCTGGTAAACGCATTTTTATTTCTCACACCCAATGAAGCAAACGATAGCCAAAAAATCAAAGAAATGGCTGAAAACATTAAAAAGAAACGGATTTAGAGAACCATTCCAAATAATTATTGACAATTCGTTTATTAAAGCAGCAAACCAACAGAAAATTGGGCAGTATAGTCTCAATGAAATGCTTAGAAATGAGCCCAAGCTTTATATGACAAAATGCACGTATGAGAAACACAAAGCACATCTAATAGAAAAGGATTTTAGTGGATATTGCGAAATAATCAAATGTGGCCATGAAAAGCCACAGACCAATTGCGTCTACCAGTTTATAAAAGAAAATAACCCACACCACTACATTTTAGCAACAAACAACCATCATTATATTTCAGAATTGAAAGAAAGCAAGCACATTCCAGTTCTGACGATTTTTAGATCACAACTTACAATAAACTGTAACAAGCTGGACTGCACTGTGGGCTTGCATGAGATGTATGCTACTAAAAGTGAACTTAGACACTTGAAACGGATGTTTGGATAGAACAGAAATTAAATCAAAGCACGTTTACAAAAGTATAAGCTTAAGCGATATATTTAATGGGCTTCTTTGTTAATCAAAGTGTATATTGGCTTTTTTAAATTCTAAAAGTAAAAGCAGAAAATCATCAATGCCCATTTTAGAGGTGCGTGCATCTGTTAATCCAATACTATCTACAATTTGGTCTATAATGCTGGCAGGATTTAGATTGGAATATTCAGGTACTTTCGTAATCTTTCCTTGGATTAGAGGCGTTTTTAAATTGGCCAAAAGTGTTTTGTTTTTTCTTCCGAAGCACGCTTTCAACAATACATCAAACTCATTTATGTTTATGGGCGGTCTAGGGATTTTAGGCTCAATTTTCATAAAACATGTATCAACCTTGGGCGGCGGCATAAAGCTGTTTTTTGAAACCTTCATAACATGCTCGACATTGGCAAGCAGTTGTACAATAACTGAAAGTCTACTGTACTCATCAGACCCTGGCCTTGCAGTAAGTCTATCTCCAAACTCCTTTTGAACCAATATATAGGCACATTTAAAGTCATATGAAATCAGTTTAAGAATAATGGGGCAGCTTATATTGAATGGAATATTGGATATGCAAAGATCAAAGTGAGGAATATTTTGACGAAGAACATTTGATTGAATCAGTTCAAGTTTATTTTTAAACTCCGCTGCCATATTAACCTTATGTATAAGCTCTCTTGCCAGTTTTTTGTCTGTCTCGTATGCAATTACTTTCTTTGCTTTCTGAAGTAGCTTCAAAGTGATACTCCCTGTGCCTGCACCAATCTCTAGAACGGTATCTGTATGCTTTACATGAGCCTTTTCTATTATTGTATCTATCAATCCATGGTTCTTCAGAATGTGCTGTCCTTCTGATTTTTTGAGCTTAATGTCCCCCATGTAAAATTTTTCTCATTGTTTGATAAAGAACGTAAAAATTTAGCATTTCAAGTGAGAAGATACTCAAGCAAGATGCATATCCATATAGACTAGGGATGAAGCGAAATCGAGGTGTTGTTGGCACTTTAACATACAATTCAAGGTCATTTTAATGTAACAACCTGATTACTCTGCACAAATACATTCAGGCTATATTTACCACTGTCCAAAGTCAATTGATATTCATAAATAGCATGTTGAGTGGAATGACCCTAAATTTCCCCTTAAAACAAGATTTAAATTCACTTACCCCTTTCACAAAAATGAAAACTTTGAAGTCACTCACAATCACTGTGCTAAAAGACATGTGGGGGATAATAGCACTTTTTCTCCTTTCGCTTTATTTAAAGGACCCAGGATCCAACTCAAGCATATTGGACTTAGTCATTCCGGATAGATTAATTGTGAAGTTGAAGCTATGGTCACAACTCAAGAATGGAGACTGTCTACTGCTTTTAAACATATTCTTTACGTATTTTTTCCTCAGTTTTTTCATTTCAATATGCTTAACTATGTTTTTCTTTGCTTTCCATCTTCTTTATCCGTGCATCTCAAAAATTGTTTCAAGTCTTTTGCTTCCCTTTGCTGTTCATTACTTTTATTCTTGTCATGAATGGAGTGACTATAAATCTTTTTTTCTTTTTGCTTCTATCATGCTTTGCATCTATGGAGTCTACAAAGCATACTTCAATCATGATCCAATGCCTTACGAAATGTGCAATCGATTTTTAGATAAATTTCTTCAGCAAAGTGCAGGATTTTATTTTTCCATATTCATTCAATGGATCTTGATCCTTGTAGATGTTATGTTGATCAGAGCACAGGATTTGCATGCAGAATCGATCTTTGATAGCTGTCTTTTGTTCTTCTATTTGATTGCATTCATTTACACTAGTTCATATTCAATCAGAGCAACACTTACAATCTACCATGCCAGCAGAAGACTCCCAGCCATTAAGGATGCATCATTTTTTGATAAAGTTTACATATTTTTCAATGTGAGATGCTTTTCATTTGCCAAGACATTGTCATTTGCATTCCTTATACTTGATTCAGTTTACTCTACTTTCTTCCCACACGATCCCGACATACCATCGATATTTGAATACAAGCGATCTTCCTCCTTTGACTGTCCCATGTCTCGCCAATCATTCTTCAACTATGTTTTATCATCAAAAACTCATATTTGGAAAGGTGATCTCAGAAGAAAGCTAAGAAAAGTGAACCTAAGGGAGGATGTTCTTCCTTCGGCTTTGATTAGTTGGATGACTCTATACACCTGTATACACTTTATTCAACCTGAATTTATTAGAATTCCAGAATCATTTGTAATACTCTTTTCCCATTTTTTCATTGTAGTGGAGGTTTTCAACAGCTTTATATTTATAGAAATTTATAGAACAACATATGGAACGATTCAAGAGCCAGCAAAGAGCGTTCCTTTGAACCCAATAGCAGAAGATGATGTTGTTATATCAAAAATTGATGTTAATAGCAATCCGAGTGAAAATGTGGAGATGTAGAAACGAATAATTAAAACAAGATATTATTTGGTAAAAAATTTTATACCCAATATTGTGATTGGCTGAAGTATATAAAGTTAATATAGGAGTACATTTGCGTCAATGCTGTATGAACTGTGTTATTTAGGATGCATTCACCATCGTTTGTGCTTTCTCAAAGTATACCCCCAGATGAGTGACAACGAAAGTAGTCATGAGTTTTTGTCTCTTCTAAATCAAATAACAAATGACGGGATGGATAGGAGTTTATATGAAAAGATAGCATGTGAGTTTACAAACTTCAAAAACATTCCATCCTCTTATCTTTTGAGTCTTTTGAAACATTTTGTGAGATTCGAAGATGAGCCTTTATATGTTAATGAAATTAGAAACTATCTTAAAGAGAACGACCATGAGCTATTTATAGAGTATGGGAATAAGTTTAAAAACTGTAAAGGTTGTTTTGAGGTATTTGGTATTCAACCTGAGAACCTCAAAGAATACGATTTTGTCAAAGTAGAAAGAGAAAAGAAAGAATGCAATGAGAAGGTGTATAGCAATCTTAAAGATAGAAGAAATGGGGATAGAAAAATAAAGAAACAGGCGAAATTACTTGCTGCCGAAAAGATATAAAGAAAAGCTCGAGCGTTTAAATGAGAAGAAAAAGAAGAAGGAGGAGCTTGAAGAGTTAATTAGAAAGCAGAATCTGTGATGAATATTTTGTAGTAATAGTTCTATGCTATTCTTTGCCAGTTTATTAAAATAGACGCATATCAACACATAGTATTTGGTCTTGTATAGATACTAAACAGTAATGGCTGTTCTTTTAACATTTACTTGATTTCAAAATTTTACAACTTAAATATTTTCTAGCTCAAGTATCTTTCCGAAATGACCCTCATGGGTAAAACAATTGAAGAGACATATCAGAAAAAGACACCGAAAGAACATATTCTTCTTAGACCAGATACTTACATTGGTGCCATAGACAAGGATGTGCAGCAGATGTACGTCTGGGATGATGAAAAAAAGAAAGTTGTTTGCAAGTCAGTCAGCTATGTTCCGGGTCTCTACAAGATTTTCGATGAAATACTGGTAAATGCAGCTGACAACAAGATGAGAGACCCAAAGATGAACATCCTGAGAGTGGATATATCAAAGGAACAGAACCAAATTTCAATTTTCAATAATGGAAGCGGTATACCTGTGAAGATACACGCAAAGGAGAATGTATACGTTCCTGAACTCATCTTTGGTCACCTTCTTACTGGAAGTAACTACGACGATAACGAAAAGAAAATTACAGGCGGTAGAAATGGATATGGCGCCAAGCTGTGCAACATCTTTTCCACCGAATTTATAGTAGAGACTGCGGACAAGTCAGTTAAAAAAAAGTATTACCAAAGATTCACGAAAAACATGGATAATACCGAAGAACCAATTATTGAGAGGTATACCGGGGAAGAGTTTACTAAAATCACATTTAAACCTGATCTGAAAAGATTCAAAATGGCGGAACTTGAAGATGACATCATTTCTCTTTTAAAGAAACGTGTATATGACATGTGTGGTACCTTGAAGAGTGTAAATGTGTACTTAAATGGTGAGCTTCTTCCAGTTAAAAATTTTAAGGAGTATATTAAACTATATCTTCACAATGAAGAACAAGTTGTTCACTCAATCGTGAATGGGCGTTGGGAGGTCGGATTTGCTGTGTCTGAGGATCAGTTCAACCAGGTCAGCTTTGTTAATAGTATTTCTACATCAAAGGGAGGCACACATGTAAATCACGTAATGGATCAGCTGATTGATCCTATAACAGAGGCTATTAAAAAGAAAGATAAAAGTCTTGATGTCAAACCTATTCATATAAAAAATAACATATTTATTTTTATTAACTGTCTCATCGAAAATCCGGCTTTTGACAGCCAAACCAAGGAAAACCTGACACTGAAAGTTTCTTCATTTGGATCAAAATGCTTACCTATTGAATCGTTTGTCAAGGATATTATCAAAAATACTCCGCTAGTTGAGAAAATTGTTTCATTTTCCAGAGCCAAGCAATCTGCACAGTTGAAAAAGACTGATGGAACAAAGACGTCACGTCTCAGTGGAATACCTAAGCTTGAAGATGCAAATCTAGCAGGTACGAAGCGATCGCAGGAATGTACTCTTATTCTCACAGAGGGAGATTCGGCCAAAACACTGGCTGTTGCTGGATTATCAGTAGTAGGCAGAGACTTGTATGGCGTCTTTCCTTTAAGAGGTAAATTATTGAATGTTAGAGAAGCTAATCACAAACAAATTATGGACAACTCTGAAATATCGAGTATTAAGAAAATCCTTGGATTGCAGCACGGGAGGATATATGAAGACACAAGCACTCTAAGATACGGACATATTATGATTATGACAGATCAGGATCATGATGGTTCCCATATCAAGGGATTGATTATTAATTTTCTTGATCATTTTTTCCCGTCGCTTCTCAAGATTAAGAATTTTCTCCTCGAATTTATCACGCCAATTATCAGGGCCACCAAGAAAGGTGTTACGCAGGATTTTTTTACAATTCCTGAATATGAAAAATTTAAGGCAGAAAACGAGGGATGGGCAATAAAATACTACAAAGGTTTAGGTACATCGACCTCCAAAGATGCAAAAGCAGTATTTTTCAGATCTTCCAAAGCATGTTAAAAGTTTTTCACCAATATCAGAACCTGATCGTGAACTAATTGACTTAGCTTTCAATAAAAAGAAGGCGGACGAACGTAAGTCTTGGCTTGGCGACTTTGTTCCTGGCACCTACTTGGATCAATCGGCTTCTAACATTTCAATTTCTGATTTTATCAACAAAGAGTTGATTTTATTTAGTGTGGCTGATAACACCAGGTCTATTCCGTCCATTATGGATGGATTGAAACCTGGCCAGAGAAAGGTATTGTTTAGCTGCTTTAAGAGAAATTTAAAATCAGAAATAAAAGTTGCCCAATTGGTGGGTTATGTCAGCGAGCAATCTGCGTACCACCATGGCGAGCAATCACTTTGCGCCACTATTGTTAACATGGCGCAGGATTTCGTTGGGTCTAACAATATTAATTTACTATTACCAATAGGATCGTTTGGTTCTCGTTTACAGGGTGGCAAGGATGCTGCTAGTTCGAGATACATATATACCAATCTTAATCCACTAACTAGGCTAATCTTTAGTGAGCATGACGACCCTATTCTCAACTATTTAGATGAGGATAATGTAAGAATTGAGCCCGAATACTATGTTCCGATTATTCCAATGGTACTTGTCAACGGTGCAGATGGAATAGGCACCGGATGGTCCACTAGTATTCCAAACTTCAATCCACTAGATGTCCTTAAGAATATCAGAAAGCTAATGCAAAATGAAAAGATGGATGAAATGGCTCCATATTACAAAAACTTTCGAGGAGAAATTCTGAGACAATCCGAAGGTAAGTTTGTAGTGAACGGTATTGTTGAACAACTTGATGAGTATAACTCTGAGATTTTAGAACTTCCCGTAGGAACATGGACACAGACATACAAAGAATACTTGGAAAATCTATTACAAAATGGAGTGATTAGAGATTACAAAGAATATCACACCGAGAAAAAAGTTAATTTTCTTGTGACCTCATTTAAAAAGTTTCCGTTAAAAATTTCAACAACTTTAACAACATCAAATATGGTGTGCTTTGATTCAGAAGGCAAAATCAAGAAGTACGAGACACCTTTGGAAATAATCAAGGAATTTTACTATACTCGACTGAGATTTTATACTACACGTAAAGAATATCGATTGAAAGCAATTAAGGAGGAGTTAAATAAACTTGAGAATAAGGCAAGATTTATCAGAGAAGTTATTAATGGAAGACTTGTAATCAACAATCGCCCAACGGATAGTATTGTTAGGGATTTGGAGTCAATGAAGTTTGATAGGTTTGATAACTTTGAGTATTTACTCGGAATGAAGATTTCATCTTTGACTAAAGAAAAAGTTGAGAAGTTAAATAAGGAATGTGAAGAGAAAAGGACCGAGTATGAGACGCTTTCTAGGAAGTCTGCATATGATCTATGGTCTGAAGACCTTGATAAATTTGAGGCTGCCTACATTAAAGTATTTGAAGAGGATAGAGCTGAGTACGATGCTGAAGTTTCTAAGAAATCTAAAAAGCCTCTCAAAAAAAAGTTTTCCACTCAAGAATTAGCCAAGTATGGGGTCATTGCCGAATCATCTTCAATAAAGAAGTTAGATAAAAAAGAAACGACTTCAGTTCAAAAAAAAGTAAAATCAAAGACCAAAGCCAATGACAAGCCTGATAAAAAGTCAGTTAAAGTGACAAAGAAAAAGGCTAAAAGTAATGAACAGCCTGTCAAAAAGATTAAAACAGAAGCATCTGCTAAATCGTTTGGAGCAGCTGTAGAAAGTGACTCCTCTGAGTTCTCTAATCCTGGGATAAATACAGGAATCTTGATAATTAAATACCTAGTGATTAACTTCCAAAATATAATGTGTTGTTTTGGAGTGTCTGAAGTTCAAAATACCAGGTTAATATTTGAAATTTTGGCAAGTTGGTGTGTTTTTTTAAAGTTTTGCACACAAGTACCCTAACATATTCTGATCCAAACGGTTGCAACATTGATAGTGCAATGCTCTATAAATAGCCACACTAACAACTAAACACCCCTAGGCTAGGGGTTTCAGTGCTAGGCATTTGATTAAGATCAAAGTAGTCTTCCTCTTGAAATGCTGATTTTCAATACCACCCTCAGTCGAATGATTGAATCATTAAAATCCAAAAGCTACCAAGAATGCAATGAACCTTTTATAAACTCGACACAGCGCAAAATAGTTGACAGATATCTTTTGTCAATTGACAATTTGTATTCTAAGCTTGTATTTACTACCGGGAAAGTAATTCTTTATATTTTTGAAAACAATGAATGGATTGAGATGAATCTCGAAGGACCACTGTACTTGTACAGAAGAAACAACGAGGAAAATGTAAGCTCGCAGTACCGACTGATAGTTTTAAGTAGAAACAATATGCAAGATTTTAAACTGAACATTCCAAACAGCTTTTATCTTGAGTGCCAGAATCAAGCCGTGGTATTCAGCCACTTGGATAAAAACAATATTTTTGGATTTTGGTTTGACAACGAGTTGGTTGTTAAAAAATTTTACCAGGTCTTGCAACATATTCTAAAAAATAAGTAAAAATAAATAAGCAAGCAAATGCCATAAATAAATATATAATGCTCTGGAACTCTAAGTTGTTATTGCACTTTGTGTATGAATCCATAACTGTGGAGTAATGCACCCACCTCCTGTTTATAACTAAATATACTTATTTTTGAAGCCAGCTTAACAACAACGATTTATTCAATATTTGACTGAACATTTTTAATGTACTTGCTGCACTCAATACCTGCAATACAGCCTGAGGCTGCCGCTGTGACAGCCTGTTTGTACTTAAAATCCTGTACATCTCCGCATGCAAAGAGTCCTTTCACAGAAGTATGCATTCGCGTATTAGTAATAACATATCCCATCTCATTGACCTTAACATCGCTCTCTAAAAATTTAGTATTTGGATCGTGCCCAATAGCAAAAAATAATCCACTAACTCTCAACTCAAACTTCTCGTCGGTTTGAGCATTTTTCAGCTTTATGTATTCAAGAAATTCAGTTCCATGTGCTGAAACAAGATTGGCCGGTGTGATTATTTCAACATTTCTAAGAGACTTCACTCGCTGGAGCATATCTCTTCTTGCTCTAAATTCATTTCTCCTATGAATCAAATATACTTTTGATGCAATATTGCTCATATAAATTGTTTCCTCCATTGCCGAGTCTCCACCACCAATAATGGCAACGACTTCATCTTTAAAGAAAAATCCATCACAAACAGCGCATGCACTAATACCCCTTTTGCCAGAACTCTCCTTCCTTCGTGCCTGGGACATACAATCGTCGTGCAGACGCACCTGTTGCTAATATAACACCCTTGGCCTCATATTTTGAATTTAAAGTATAAACAATAAAATTTTCACCATGCCTTTCCAATTTGGTTACTGTACTGGAAATAACTCTAAGACCCTTACTTACTGCTTGGGCTTTCATGTCGTCCATTAGTTTAGGACCCTGCGTTCCATGTGGAAATCCTGGATAGTTATCTACTGCTGTAGTTGTGGTGAGCTGGCCACCAGGGCCGATGCCACCAACTACTTCACCTTCAAAGAGTAAAGGCTTGTAGTCTATAGTAAATAATGCAGCTGTGTATGCGGCAGGACCACTACCTATTATCACAACATTTTCAACCACCATGGGGGAAATTTCGGATTAAAATAAATTTTTTGCCAGCACGCATGTAAAACATGTGAAAACTAGACAATCCCATGATCATACTCAAATTCCTACTATGTTTGTATTTAAAAATTGTGCTTAACAAATAATTTTTAAAGTATACTTCAAAGCTACATGATTGTATTGTATTTAATATTTAAGGCTGGTTGCAGCTGCATTAATATTTTATTTAGACATTTGTTTTAATGATAAACTTTTATAACTAAACATGTATTGAGTGTGTTTTAAGCTATTCAATACAATTGTTGAAACATCAGTTTCGGACCAGAATATTATCATAAATAGTTTCAAAATCCACCAAGCATGCTATTGTTTTTTGGATATGTTAGCGCAATCTACCTTTTCCATATCGATTCAAAGAAGTTTATAGGTGAGTTACGTGATAGTAACTTTACGCCTTATCCATTTTCAGGCCCAGTGGATGATGTTAGTAATGCTCTTGACTACACAATCATTCAGCATAACGTTAAAAAGGGCGAGTATTTGAGAATTAAGCATCCGAACGGAACTCAATCATTGGATGTTACGTCAGGAAGTAACAGGAAAGACTTGCCTTTTATCATTTACAACCAAAATAACGCAAACTCCCAAGCTCTCAAACTGAAATTGTTACACGACAATACTTTTGTTATAGGATATTATGACCTTTGCCTTGTGTATAATGATAAGTACAGAGGTTTCCAGAGTGGCAGCTGTAATGATAGCAGATTAGAGAAAAGCAAATTTGATTTATACTATGAGAAAAATGAGCTCGATACATATCAAGTACAGGAAACTCACAAATTACCTATTATACCCACTTCAGATGGACATATTGATTTTGATGAAGATAATCTGGTTACAATGTCTAACGATGACTATAATAAAAACGATTATGACATACATGATCTTATGCATCACCATCACCACAGGCCTCATGCTATTGAAGTTTCAGCAGATTTATCTAAAGGGGACGTGACCTTCCTCGCGGATGACGATAAAGCGATTAAAGACTCTGGCATAAGAATAGGCCACAGTGTTTGGAAAAGGAACAAACGACACAGGAACCCATATTCAGGTCTTTATAAGCATGACTATGTCGATTGGAAAAACTTTGGCAAATCAAATTCACCTTACTATGAGAATGGGCCAAAAAAATTAAAGAAGAGAAGTAGCAGTAGCAAGGCCGACGAAAATCCTCATGCAAGAAAGAGACCAAGAAGATCCGAAAATTTGTACAATGAAAGCAGCGATGATGACACATCGTATTATGATGAATGGATAGATGGAAGTACCTCCTCATCGCATTTTGATAATGAAAGAGTGCATCCATATGATGATGATTGCCGTTATTCAAATAATAAAAATTGTAAGAAACATCGCGACCACAGAAAAAAACGCGACTATAACTGGGACAATTATTTAAGAGTATAATAAAGAGTATTTTACAGACGTTAATTGACAAAATAGAGATTTATGTTGCTTGTTAAACTGGCATTTGATATTTCCAACTAAATGGTAATATTAATTTAAACACTATTATTATTTATTGCTCTGTCCAATATATCTCCAAATTATTTATTTGATAATAAAATTGACACCAAAACTAGGGCTAATGAGCCAGTAAAATCAGAAATGGATGAAATCAAAGGAACAGTGTCTGAGCTGATATTCTTTCCTTGATTTTTTATGAATAATACCATATATTCAACAATTTTTAATAGTAGTATTACCTGAATTATGAACATGAAAATAAAACAAAATGAAAATTCAACCGAATATCCAACGTAGATAGCACGTGCAATGCAGACATATGTTATCGAAATGAAAAAAGATATCAAGATGAGAGAGTTATTAGTTGATGATGGGATAGACACTCTTTGATTTTCAACTACTGTAAATGTCTTGTGCAGGCATATAAGAGCGATGGATGTTGACATCCCTGTAAACACCGGAAAGGCAGGCGCTATCATGGAAAACATTGCCGAGGATTTTTCAAGTATAAATCCGCTTATGATATTAAGTCCGAAAGTAAATGCAACTGTTTCAATGCTTTGTATAGGAAGCAAGTTTTCAGATACAAAAATGAAATAGAAGCAAACTCCAGTAGCAATTGTAACAAGAAAAAGAATCCAAAGATGGTCAGCCGTGGATAGCTTTTGTAAACCCTTTGCAAACATAAATAAAAACTTCACTACTAGCACGTCATTGATGACGTTCAATAAGGGCATTAGAAAATTTTCAGGATCCATTGAAAAGTATACAGCTAACTCCAATGAAAAGATAAAAAGCAGAATAAATGCAGCTGTGCTAAGAAAACAGGTAAGAACAGAAGAAAGAAAAATGACTGAGTATAGCTGAACAGTGCTTTTTTTATCAAAAGCTATTTCAAAAGCGCCCAGAAGACCTGAAAAAACGCCAACGGTGAACGATTCAACTGCAATTAAACAGCTATTGGCAATTACTATTCGTTTAAAATTGGTAAATGTTGTTGGGACTCTTAACGTAGATAAGTGCATTACGTATCCTAGCTCAACATTGCTTTTGAACCCTAAAATAGTACTAGACAGTAATACAAATGGAAAATGTTGTAGACTTTTGTGACTTACCGCAGCCTTGAAAAGTGAACTAGTAAAAAGCATTCCCAAGAGCGTGATGGATATTGACAGAAGTGACTGGGAGATTACGCTTATGTCAAAGACTGAATTTATTAAGGTAAACATATTGTTCCTAAAAATTTTATGGCAAATAAATCGTGAAGAATGAATATTTTGTAATACACCTGAAACTATTGAGAATGATAAACACAGTGGAGTGGTTTATTTACAGTGTCAAATATGGATAGTTTTGATAGATAGGAAGTTTATTTAAGGTTTACAGCATAGTTGTATTGCAATGTGGTAAATCGGGCATTACTGCTGAAATATTACAAATATTCAGATTAAACGAAGTATAACGAGGACTTGATCAGTCGGTACTGTTGAAATTCGAGCAATAGCATTTTCAGCACAGTTGTGTTATCTATACGCCTTCTTTTCTCAAGTATTTATGATGGATAGGTTTATAAGCTCATCTTTAGCTGCCAATCACTAGCAGTATTCTTCAGGAAATAATATAAAATTGGAGATAAAAGCTTATTCTTAATTTTTAAATATATCAAGCCAGAACTATGGGTCATAATGTATGCCTTTGCTGGGATTAAAGGCTCTTTTGAAAGTTGTATGTATTAGGTTCTTTTAAAAGCTTTAGTGAACTGTCAGTCTGCATGATTAATAGCATGCCACTGTATCCAAGCATTATGTCTAGATGGTGCTCAAAAGGCATTCAAACAGCCTATTAACTATAATATAATACTTAGTTCTCCGGAGTAGTATGCAATCGTATTTTGAATCCAAAACAAAATAACCCCCATGGAATGTGTTCGACTAAACAGCGGCTATGAAATACCTACGATTGGATTGGGAACTTGGGAGCTGACTGATAGGGAAATCTTCCTCAATGCACTTGAAGAAGCCTATAACCTTGGGTACAGACACATTGATACTGCAAGCTTCTATGGAAATGAAGATATTATTGGGGAGTTCCTAAAGAAGCACGATAGGAAAGAGTTTTTTATAACATCCAAGCTCTGGAACACTGATCACAGCAATGTCCTCGCAGCGATCAACAAGTCTTTGGAAAAGCTAAGTACTGATTATCTTGACATGTACTTGGTCCACTGGCCAGTTAATCTTAATGGTCCATTTGATCTGAAGAGTGTGTGGACCCAAATGGAGAAGCTAGTTGATCTAAATAAGACAAAATCAATTGGCGTGGCCAACTTTGGCATTAAAAATCTTACCAAACTCCTAGAATTTTGTAAGATTAAACCTGCCATATTGCAGGTTGAGCTTCACCCTTATCTTCCTCAATATGAACTAAGAGAATTTTGCGAGAAAAATCAAATCCGAGTTATGAGCTATTCTTCTCTAGGCTCAAGTTTTGGAGGCAAGGTGATTCTAACCAAGGATCCTGTGCTGAGTGATGTGGCCAAGCGCCATAACTGTCCTGTCCAGACTGTTATTTTAAATTTTCTTTTATCGGAAGGGCTGTTAGTGATTCCACGATCCAAATCAAAAGAGCATCTGAAAACAAATATGCAGAGAATTGAGCTAAAGGACGAAGATATGCAGAAAATAAGGGACATTAAGACTCGATATAGGTATATTGACCCCAAGCCCTTTGGCGACCACAGGTTTGACTGAATAAAAACATTCCAATCCAGTATAACTTTGGTCTTTAATATTAATTCTATGTATTTGGTCTGCAAGGAAGCAATAAAACATAGTTGCATAATCAACGACAGTACTTTAATTAGTAAAACTAAACTGGGTTATTTAGTATTTTTATTTGTTTAATTTCCTATAAATAAACAGCATGGCTCTTTAAAAGATTTTTAAACTGTCCCAATGATAGATAGTGAATTGAATAAGATACCAAAATTTATAAGAAGACTCTTTAGAGAGGTCAGTGATCCAGAAAACAAGTATATTTGCTGGGGTGAAAATGGAGAGAAGATTAGGATTGTAAACAAGGACAAGTTCGTTAAAAATACACTCCCAAGGCTTTCGAAAACGAAAGAGTACAGCGGATTTGTACGACAGTTAAACATCTATGGGTTTGTAAAGATAAAGAGTGATAAAAACGATGAGATCGAAGAATACTACAACTGCTTCTTTAAGAGGGATGAGCCTAGTCTCATGGAGCATATTAAGAGAGTCAAGAAGTATGATGAGAAAGCAAGCAGACTGAACCACTCTGCGTTGGAAAATAGTCTTACGTATCTTACAAATTGCAATTTTAGACTGACAAACGAGCTTGCAGAGCTGAGGGAAAGGATGGATAGACAGGAACGCACAATTAATGGGCTGTTGGAGATTCTAGGAAAAGTGTTTAGAACAGGCGCTCAGAACATTAGCTACGAGAGCAATCTATTGAAAATGAGGTCAGATTTCCCAACAAACCTACTTGAAAGCCAGAAGAATGACAGTACATATACGCCTGGAAAACTGATTGAAGATAAAGAGTTGAAGTCTAAAAACAGCAGTATTGTCAAAGATATGAATGACATTTTCTACTTTTAATCAGACAGAACGTGTTTGGTTACATTAATCAGATGCAATGAGCTGTCTTAGAAAGCATAGGCTAACTGTCAAGTACCAGGAAAGCCAGCTATCCATAATTTAAACAAATTTCACAAGTGATTGGCAGTATCTGTTTAAATATTTTATTTGTTTGCTTGCCCAATGCCAAGTAAGTCCGGGCTTAAAAGGTCTGAGTTCCATTCTTATCTTATCAAGACCGTAATAATCACATTTTTAGTGCCAGTTATACTCTTTGCCATTCTCATAAAAACAAGATTAAGCCCAGTCGTCTCTTTGATGATGTCAATGTTGATATTTTGCTGCTTGATGGTTCAGATGATCTGGAAAACAATCAAAGTATATGGAAAAAGAAAGAAGACAAGGAAAATCAACTAGTTTCTATTAAACACACAATTAAATAAGCTTATGCTTTGTGATATCCTTTTTATTGGCTAAGAATAAAAACTAATTGGTTAAGTTAACTGACAATATTTTCCTTCTTTTTTTATACCCAATGTCAAAAGACAGCAAGTCAGATACAGAAACAAAGGATAGAAAGTTTAAAGCTAGTACGTTTGATGAGTCAAAAGTCCGACATTCATTCTTAGAAGTGTCTGTATTTGAAGTACTGTTTCCAAAGCACAGAGCACAGTACTTAAAAGGTGTTGAAAGCTACGCCATTAAAGCTTGTGAAGTAAAGAAAGTTCATTTTGAAGTAGACTATGACAAATTTACTATGAGGGTATCTACGACGGACAGGACAAGAGATCCGTACATTATTATTAAGGCTTATGAAATGATTCAGCTTCTAGGCAGAGGGGTTACTCTTGAAAATGCAGTCAAGGTTTTGGAAGATGGAATAGCCAGTGAAGTTCTGCAAGCAAGGATGCTCTGCTCAACTGAAAAGATATTTGAGAGGAGGAGGCAGAGACTCTCCAACCCAAAGATTCTCCAATCGATTGAGCTAATCACCAAAACACATGTTCTGATATCAAATAAAACAGTCTGTATTGTTGGAGAGTACAAAGGAGTGCATGAGGCCAAGAATATAATTATCAAATGCTTTGAAAATATTCACCCTGCTTTTGAATTAAAAAGGCTAATAATTAAGAAGAAGTTAATGAAAGATAATGCTGAAGGTGATTGGGAAAGGTTCCTTCCAAATATCAAAAAGACGCATTCCAAAAAGAAGAAGACGCGTAGAGAGACAGGAAGCATGCCAGAGGAGATACATGAAAGGAAAGAGGATTTACAAATGCAGACGGGGGAGTATTTTTCAAATCCTGAAAATACTGAAAGGCTAAGGATAAAAGAAGAGAAGAGGAAAAAGAGAGAGGAAATCAGACAGGCCAAAAAGACAAGGTTTGAGGTTCCTAATGAATGAAACCTGCTGTCATAATAAAAGACTGGCGAGAAATGCTTGACATCCTTTTCTTTATTGATGAATCGTACTGTAATTCTTGAAAAATATGTGTGAATTGGCCTGATGCATTATTAAATTAGACATTTTGATACAATAGTAATTGCAATGCCCTTTACAAATAAAATTTTTAATGTCGAATCTCATCAACATCGATTATTTTTTCGATGTGGTTTTAAAGCCAGACGATAAGACTTCAAAGCTAGCCAAGAATTCCTAAAAGTATAGCGTTTTAAGACGTTAAGCTAGCATTTCAAGAAACCATTCATCTTGCACAATTTGCTTAGTCTATCAATGCTTGTCTAATACACATGGCTATTAGCACCCACCATGCTTCTCTCTACTTTATCTTTATGTTTTGCATTTTCATAGACCTTCTGAAAGCTAACTCGAATGAAAATAAAAAGACTGAAGGTGGAAGACAACTCTGTTCTGGTGAGCAATGAGTCCAATGGTAAATTGATTATTGCCGATCAATCACACATTTCTAGCCTTGAGTCTCTCCTTGAGAGAATTGAAAAGCATAAGTTCGCTAAAAAGAATAAAAGAGAAAACATAGTATTTGAGAAAGAGTTTGATGTCGGTGCTGGCTCCATGAAGAGCTACAGGGACCAAGATGGAGACTTTGTGTGTACATATCAGATGAAGATCAAATCAACTCCCATTGAGATCAATGAGGATTATGATTTTGAACTTGAGAGTAAAAAAGAATGCAAAGGCCAGTCCAATCTTTGGGGATCAGATAAAGATGAGCCGGTCCCACTTCCATTTACAAAAAGAGGGAAGGAAATTAAAGAGGAAGGAGATGAGGATTTTTTGATAAGCAACATTCAAGATCTAAGAGTTATGCATAGAAATCCGCCAAAAGCCGACGAGGAAAGGATATCTAGCAGAGAAGTGTACGATATTTCTTTTCACAGGCCGGGAAGTTCAGAAAGCCATAATCAGATTGAGACTAAATTTGCCGTTCCAAGAGCTGTTGTGACTAAGCATACACCACCGGACTATAAGTTCCAGAAAAGGCCAATCCCAAACTGCATGACAAACAAAATGAGGGTTTTCTCAGTAATGCTTAGAGAGCTGAGAACATACAAACCGACTAATATATTCACCACAGGGCTGTCCAATCTGATTTCATTCGCTAAAAAGGACAAATGGCGTCCATCAAATAGAATGGATGGAGAGTTTTTTAAAGCTATATTCCGCTATAATCGGTTGTATGGCATTGAAGGCACGGTGGAGAGAAATTTTTATTTAAACAGCGAAAAAAATCAAAAAGTTACCGATGAAGAATTCGAGAGACTGCTTAAGGCGACAGTTGAATCAAAATAGAACCAAGAAATGTCAATTTCAAGTCATATGCATTCAATTTTCTTTATAATGCAAAATATCTTGGAATATTGTCTGAGATAGTCACCAGTAGGTAATCTTAGCCAAGACCACTCAGAGGATACTCTGCAACTGTCCTATACACAACACTAGCTGTGCATTCGCGTTCGAATAAAACTATTGCTATATTAAGCATTGAAAATAGAGTGTAAATGTCCACACCATTTTTAAGCACTTTTATGAACTTATCTGTCGTAACACTTTGTTTCTCTTTGGATTTTAATCTCTTTCTGCACCTCATCTTTTCCGTTTTGTTTGTATTGAAGGAATACTTTTAAGTGCACACTGCAGTAATGCTCTTATGATTAGTTAGTACTATTCCGAGCTCTTTTGTAACTCATCCGGCAATGAATGAAGCTAATCCTTTGTTACCATCCCTTCCTACAGAAAGGCATGACCGATTTTAAGTTTTCATGGACTCAGGAATTCAGAAGATCGTGGGAGGACAATGCCAGACTCATTAGAAGACCCCTTCCAACATACACGAAGCCATTCAATACAAACAAAAAGAACATAATAAGACACCTTCTTGTTTGTATTGACACTTCAGCCTCGATAGAGAAGTCAGACTATGTTCCTACTGTTAGGAACATTCTTTCAAATACCATTCCTAGATTTGTTTCTCAATTTAAGATTTCTAATCCACTCTCCATTCTGTCTTTTCTTACCTGCCGAAGTGTTTTTGAGAAGTATTCACGGGAATTCAATCCTAAAATTATGCTGAATACGGTTGGAAGTGGAAACTTTTCCTTCCTCAACTGTCTTAAATCAGCAATTGAAATGATAAGGACCAGTACATATAATAAGGAAGTCCTGGTTATCACCTCATCTATTGGGACAAAAGACACGGGTGCATATGAGCAGGTATTTTCGGACATTAAGAAGTACAACATAAAAGTTAATGTTATTAGTATCTGCGGGGAGGTCACTCTATTTAAAAAAATATCAGAACTGTCAAATGGTGTATTCAAAGTTCCCCTTGACAGCTTCCACTTTGAAATTCTTTTACACCAATTTACAGAACCTTTGGAATGTCTTGAAGCTACAAGCTGTCTTGTGAAACTTGGATTTCCACAGATAACATCTAACTCTGGTCTTTGTGTCTGTCATTTAAAGTTTGAACATAGCTTGTATGAATGCCCTGTGTGTAAGGCTTACATTTGTTGTTTGCCTTGCGAATGTCCTATTTGCAGTACCCAGCTTGTCTCTCCTTTGAATATTTCTAAGTCTTACTATTTTATATACCCATTAAAACCTTTTATTTCAAATGAAAATGGAAAATGTAGAAAATGTGGACGGGATGCGAAGTTTTTATGTGAAGAGTGTCAAAATCATTTATGCGAGAAGTGTAACAAATTTATGCATGAAGATTTAGGATTTTGCATATTTTGCAATGAGTAATTCCTATTATTTTGCACTAAGTTGATTGCAGGGACTCTTATTTTTAATATTAGACTTTTCGAATCAGCCTGTTTTCGTGTATGAGTAAACATTTCTTTCCTCTACGAAAACTGACTTTTAAGTAGTTTATTTATACCTTTAGTCAATATTTCTTCTTTAAAATTGATTCTACCTTTTCCAATCCAAGAATATCCTGGCTTAAGTTAACAATCTCCTTGTAATTTTCCTTTATGTATTCTTTTTGATTAATCTTCCTTATTTCATTCGTGTCAAATACTGTTGGAAAGAGCTTTTGAAGATCCTTAAACTCTACTTTTCCAGTGCAATTTATATTGAAAAGAACATTGCTATACTTCTTTAGTTTGTTTTTGCAATATACCCTGTCGTCCCTAACCTTGAACGTTTTAGGTAGAATGTCAGGCGTGTTGATAATAAAACACTTATCAAATGATATTACTTCGGTATCGTTTTCCATTTCTGCCTTGACTGTGAATCTTTCTGTTTGGTACTGCCTTACAAACATTGCATGAAATGCAAACAAATTAATAAATGATCAGCTTTAATACTGGCTCAAATACAATATTGAGTGATAAATCCATGAAGCTAATCTCAACACTAGTACAGTTTTATTTATCTCTGTCTCATTTATCGTTACATCAGGAAAAACCCTGCCGTCAAGCCTATCGCCTTTCCAAGCTTGTCTCTTAGCTTTTCCCTTGAAGAATACTCGGGAAGGAGAAGCGTGTTGAAACATGTTTGCGAGCTTGGAAGCCTATCAGTATCACACCCATTTTTCATAATGATCAAATTCAATGCAGTGGATCCACCAACTGGCAGCCGATCATTCCCTGTTATAAACTGTATCAGTCTTTTCTTCTTTCGTGAACACATTTCATAGAAAAACTCCCAAAAGTGCTCAATAATCTCATCCTTTGGCTCGTATCCATTATAAGTAGTGGTTTTTTTGATTAGCTCAAAATCAAGATCATCTACCCCCATCAGAATCTTCTCCAATTCATGTGGCTGAAATTTTTTAACGTTTTCAAAATTAATAATAGAATAAAACCCATCTGAAAAGGCTTTAAACTCATCTTCAATGATCCCCTCCATCAAAAATGACCAGTATAGCTGCGTAAACTCTTCTAAGTTCTTTTTATTCACCTTTATTCCACTGCCATCCTCTATCAACTCGTAGTTTATTCTCCTTCCCAACACTTCAAAGTCGGCTGTAAAGTTTTGATCCAAGAACTGAAAATCTTCAGGAGAGCATCTTTGAAGATTCTTTAATGAGTTGTATATTTCGGGTTCGATCTCTTCTAAATCATCAAAATCAAGGGGAATATGGAGTAGCTTTTTGAACAGGAGAGAGGGAAACGGAACGTTCAAAACAACATCGTTGTACAATGCAATGCCCACTATTTTGCCAATTGTATTTAATAGTTGTAGGTCGACGCCCTTTCTAAACCATATTCTGTTGTTTGTCTGTGTAAATAGGCTGGTATCATTCTCTATTTCGTGCCCTAACAGTAGAAAATATTCCTTTTTAATTCCTCCAGAGTCAACCCCTTCTTCGCCAAGGAATTTTACTTTTAATTGCTTTTTTATGTCGATGCCATCGACTTCTAATATAATCTTTAACGTGTCAATGTACAGTCTATCTCTTCTAATGTTAATAAAAAGGTATGGTTGGGTTATTCCTTGAAATAATGCTTTGAAAAAGGCATCTTGAAGGGATGCTTTCATATACTCTCCATTTTGAGTCTTCAATATCTCTGCCTTGATGTCAATTGGAATAGCGAATGTATGATCTAATGGCGATTTTAATTTAAGTTTGCAAAATTTTAGTTCATTTTTTAGGTTAATTGTCGAAAAAAACTTTTTTACAACAAAATTTGATTCCTCAACAATCAGAAACTTTTCATTTATCAGAAAAAGGCATTCAAAAATCTCAAAAAGACAAGTTATCCTGTTGTTTTCGCGAAAATCAACAGGAAAAGTATAATCAATTAATGAATGGATTGACTGTATGCATTCTACAAGATCATTTTTTGAGAGATCGAAGCAAAATAAGCATTTTCCAGAATCACAGCGTTCATGTTCCTTAAGAAACGGTGTTATGAGCGATGTTAGAGTCTTCTCTTTAATGGTTAAGAAGACATTTGCTAGAATTCGGTAAAATGACACATCAATGTCTCCATCCTTTGAAATTATATTGAATAACCGTATTATAATTAATGATAGGTTGAAGTCTGGATGGGTTTTGAATTTGTTGAGGAAAACATGAAGAACACCAGTCAAAAGATATGAATCAACAAAGTTAGGACTCTGGGAGATAATTGAACAAAATCTGTGGTTTAAGTCCTTGCATGGCCTAATCATATTTGATTCCTCCTTTGTTTCTCTTTTTGTGCTAGCTATAGATTCATTTTCACACGCACCTTCTTTATGTTTTACATTTTCATTTGGCGTTATTTGCTTGAATAGCGTATCGTCCAAATTGAACGTCGAAGGAGACTTCATGGCTTTTTCCTTACTATAAAACAGTCCATTTATATAGAACAATGAGTCAATGATAAGGTTTTTATCAAGCTTTTTGTCGTTTGAATTCAACTTTTGAATTTTCCTGCAAGTCAAAGTATCACCATACTTTGAAAGTATCTTCGAAATCTTCTGAACAGTGGCGCTATCTGGGACTGTACGACAGAAGGCCTTGATACAGTTTGATGCATTGCACTTTTGCGTAAGCTGTTTGATGTACTTCGACATGTCAGGGGCTTGCTTGCTTTTCAGAATACTTTAATAAGGAGTCTCCCCTTAAACCTCCTGATAGGACTGTTCACTCTTGATGAGTGCAAAACTGTGTTAAATTTGTGATCAAAAAGAGATTGTATTAGATCTGCCATATGTTTTCATATTTCAATTAGTTTGAAATCAAAACAAACAAAAATTTATCCTTACAAAAATACAAAGTGAGAAGAAAGCTTTTATGATTTTTATGCAGGTAAAAATAACAAACACTAACTTATTGTATATCTATCTATTTTATGCCTGTAGGATATGCCAGTCTTTGTTTTAAACTTAATTTAGTTAAAGTGCAATTTTAAGGTTAAAATAAACTTTAAAATTATTGATATAAAACAATATTTAAGTATAGCACGTACCAAGACAAAAACATTAATAAATTGGGGCTTGAAATGTAAAAGTGCTCATATACGGTGAAGCTACTATTAGATACAGCATTTACAAAGCCCAAGAAGTTCATTTATAACAAATATATAAAATCTTATACAGCACAGTTTTCTAAACTTGATTTTCCATTGCAATTACTTCTTCAGCTTGTACAATATTTATAAAACGTGCCAGATTGCCTCAGTCACTGCCTTTTCTTATTAGTATCTCTTACATGTATCAGTGTTTTGGCCATTCTTTCTTTTAGAATTGTGTTTAGACTAGCCCTGCAAATAAATGCCCACAAATCAAAAAGCAGTGCTAAATGAAAATGATGTGGGAATGGTCATGAGCTATGGAAAGAACTATTATAATGATGAAATAAGGACCATAGAAACAGAGATTGATGCTCTCTTTGACCAGATAAATCTAAAACTAGGAACAAGGGAGGTAGAGACAGGTCTTGCTCCCCCATCACAGTGGAATCTAATTGCAGACAAGCAAAGAATGCAAACTGATCCCACTCTTCAAGTTGCAAGAGTTGTGGATATTATAGAGGGATACTCTGAGCCTAGATATATGATTAGCATTAGACAAATGGCCAAGTTTATCGTGGGAAAATCCAAGAAATTAGAATCCAACGAAATCCAAAAAGGAATACGAGTCGGTGTAGATAGAATGAAGTATAACATTATTTTACCGCTACCAAAGAAGATTGATGCATCTGTAACGCTCATGCAGATTGAAGAGAAACCAGAAGTTTCCTATAATGATATTGGCGGATGCAAAGAGGAAATAGAGAAAATTAAAGAAGTTGTTGAGGAGCCATTACTTAATCCTGAAAAATTCATTAATCTGGGAATAGATCCTCCTAAAGGTGTACTCCTATATGGACCGCCGGGAACAGGTAAAACATTAGTTGCTAGAGCTGTAGCAAACAGGACCGAAGCATGTTTTATTAAAGTCATAGGTAGTGAGCTGGTACAGAAATATGTAGGAGAAGGTGCTAGAATGGTCAGAGAGATATTCTCTCTAGCCAAATCTAAGAAAGCTTGCATTATATTCTTTGATGAGGTTGATGCGTTCGGAGGTACCCGCTTTGGAGATGGTGAGGACAACGAGGTGCAAAGAACGATGCTTGAGCTTATTAATCAACTTGATGGATTTGATAACCGTGGAAACGTTAAGGTTCTCATGGCTACAAATAGGCCAGATACTTTGGATCCGGCATTATTAAGGCCAGGCAGGTTGGACAGAAAAATAGAATTTGGGCTTCCAGATTTGGAGGGTAGAATAAAGATTCTGGAGATTAATGCGAGAACAATGAGCATTGAGAAGAATATTCGATTCGATTTGATTTCAAGGCTGTGTAGTGGAGCAACAGGAGCGGAGCTGAGATCTGTCTGCATTGAGGCAGGTATGTTTGCGATCAGGGACAGAAGAAAGATAGCAACGGAAAATGACTTTTTCAAGGCAGTTGATAAAGTCATTAAAGAGGGAGCAAAGTTTTCATCTACGCCGAGATATCTTACTTATAATTAAATAAAACTTTTCAACGAACCATCTTCACCCTCTCCGGTTTAGCTTTTTATGCTGTAGTTTCTTTGGCTGTCTCTTTGTAAACCCTAGGAAGAAGTATGGCGAATTCAAGAGTGAATAAAGAAATAAATAAAGTCTTTGCAGAAATTCAAGAATACGTCGAAGAGAACAGAAACCCAAGAGAAAGAAACAACTTCAAAAAAAGACAGTTGCAATTCCTCAAGGCTGAAGTGCACAAACCATTTATTCCTTTTAGAAGATGCATGCTTATTGAAAAGAGGAAAAAAATAAGAAGACAGAGAAGTGTGCAAAGAAAAGAAGAGGTTGGTGCAAATAAAATAAGAAGTAAGAAGTAAGAGACTGAAATGTGTATTGTATTGAATGTTACATGATATAAAGGACTAAATTTATACTGCTGAGACTGTCTATGTTTACTTGTTTTAACAAACTCATTCACAGCCATTTTGTATTTTTATTTTGTAGGTGTGAAGTGCGTCAACGAATATGCGTCATGGAATAATCCTGTGAGAATGTTTGCAAAACAGTAGGTGTTCCGACCACTGGTATTTTTAATTCTCAAAGCCTTCGACTGTTAATTGATCTTTGCACTATCCTTAACAAAGTTTTTATGATAGCTCATTTAATGCTTTCGCTTAAAATCTGGAAATCAGTGTTTCCAATTAAAAATGATACTGCATGCAATTGGCTGAGCCGTTATGTTTATTTTCTATTCATCTCTGCTATTTTTGCTTTGTTTCTCCTTCAATTCTCTTAAATGTGTGAAAATTTTTCTTCCCTAAAATGGATAACTCTATTCTGCATACAATACCGTTTTTACAGGAAGCCAAGATCGTAGCAACAAATACTATATGATCAATGAGGTGTCAAAAGTACATAACGACAATGTCTGTGTGCCTGGTGATGTCTTTGGATATGCCCAGGAAAGTTTGTCCACAACTTACAAAACAACGGACGAGTTTCAAAGCACCTTCAATGAATCTGGTACAAAGTATATGGACAAAGTAGCAAAAGGCTGTTCACAAGCTAAAGCATGTTTCGAAAATCCTAAAGAATGCTTGGAGAGCATCCTAGATGCTAACAAAGATAAGTTTTCCTATTTGTCCGATCTTGTCAAAATACCTTTAACGTGGTCATGGCCAGAATTACTCTTCAGTAGCTTTATTGCTGGGATTTTAATCTTGTCGTTATATTATTTGCTCAAGTTTGTAATATCTCACAAATTACTAAAAAGAAGTACTCTGCTTTACTTACTTACAGGCTTTGCATTCATCCTGCTTACTATTTGCTTACTGCCAGATGCGCCTGAGCAAATCAGCACTCTCTTTAATTCTTTCTCTGAGTGGGTGAAAAGTACTTCTGAGGAGCTAAAATTAAGTGAGAAGATCAATGTATTTTTCCAAGAAGTTTCTAATTTCTTGGAGGTATCATGGAATGCCATTCGTGATTGTTCGTTATACATTTATGAAAGCCTGGGCAATTCAATATATTACATTTTGGCATATTTCTCACTAATGCTGAGAAAGCTAAGCTCTGAAAAAACTCAATAAAAGCTTTTGGATCAGATTTAATTTTATTAACGGTTATTAATAGTTTATATAAGGTTATTATTGTGTAATAAAAGACAGTGCATACCCCAAGACAGACAGTTTCACGGAGTTCCTACCTAACTGATCGATAATCTTGATCTTAAAATAGTCGCCAATATATGAGTCCTCGTCATTGTTCTTTGCTGTTTCTTTATATCCAACCTTAAACGCATCGTGCTCATTGAACACAAAAGAATCATTTTTCTCAATCAAAATACAACGGTAGAATAGCTTTATTTCATAGCTTTTTCCGTCTACTTTGAGAATGATCGAGTTTTTCATTTCAAAATACTCTTCAAAGAACTTGAAAATTAGCTGTTCTACTGAAAACTCACAGGTGAGTTCGTTGTAAAACATTTTGGTTCTTGCTTTGCAACATTCAGGAAGTACCTTTTCACCCGCAATCAAATAGAAGTTTGAAACCAAAATTCCGTTCTTTCTAGGCTTTATTTTGAGATCAAGCATTCCTTTAAATTCACTGTTGTGGCAAGACCAGCAATCAATCAGCTCCTCCCACCCCTCTTGTGGCAATCTATGAACGGTTGTAAATGTGAAATTTACGTCGTGTCTGCACTTTAAATTGCTGATTTTCAATAAATCTATTGAACTCTCTATTCTCTCGTACTCCTCAACGTCAAATGACCATATATCAGCTGATCCTGTTCTTTCGTACTTTTCATTTTGGAATTTTAGTCTCTTCACACTCTTTAACAGTTCAAAAGACTCTTTTCCGTATGCGAATCCTCTTTTTGAACTTTGTTCTATTTCAATCATGTCTTTTATCGGCAAGGATGTTTGATGGAATAGTGCTTTCGGCAAAATGCACAATAAACAGTCTGCACTTCAAAATAGCTAAGTATAAAATATACTTGTTAAAACTAAGCATTTTGAAAAGTAAGGTGTGTTTAGTTAATAACTGAGCCTATTACAGGGATTTTTAACAAGTGTATTTTAAAGTTAATTAGATATAATATGACATATCATTTATAAAGGTAAATTTAATCTAATATCGTTAACATTTTCCTTGATGTTTCAAAAGTGGAATATAGGAAATCATCTATCCTTGGTTCTATTATAAACCAGTAGTTGGTCACCTTTCGTTCATCTATCACATTAGCATCATACATTTCAGTACTTGAATTATAATCTCCTATTACAAGAACGTGAGATCCCCGCGTGCCAACCTTAAACATCGTTCCATACTGAATCAACTCAAAATTTGCATTATTCGGTCGGCCACTGGCACAAAGTTTAACTTTTGAGGAGTTTGGAGATGCACACACTCTTTTATCATTTCTCATTAAGGCACCGTCCTTAAACTCTATCTTTTGTTCTGGGGAGGTTGGGTCGTATTCTGTAAATCCAACATTGTCGTCTGTTATAGTCAAGGCTAAGCCTGTGGGCCTGTTTTCTCTAATAGTGTATACCTCCGACTTTACAATAGTAAAGAGTAGCATCAAGTTCATCTGAGTCTTAACGGTCAAATGTTTAAATTTGTATTATGAAACAATGACAGGTGAAGTTAATGAACGTTTACAGTTAGTTATCACACTTTCATCCAATAAGCTTTAGTTTGTTTAAAAATTAAATTATCACTTTTTGTAATTCAAAAGTCCACTTCCATACGTTTTGTTGTGATAGTATTTTTCACTAATCTCTGCTGGTAGATTTTGCATATACTTGTAAACGCTCAAATCATAGAATCTTAGAGATGTTCTTGGGTCAGTATACAAAGCTGGCAGTCCTGTAAAGTCACAAAGCTTTCTTCCTGGCTTTACAGAAAATCTAGGAAGACTTAAGTATGGATGGAAAGATGCAGCTAAACTTTTGTACATTTGTTTCATGGACTTGTATTTGATTTGAGAGGTTAAACGCGTGGAAAGCTTGTATTTTGAGAGTCCAGCCATAAAAAGGATTGGGGATAAAAATATGCAAGAATAAATGGACTAGCAAGGTTTTAATGCAATAATCAAGTAGATGTACGTTGAACACAGACATATCGCAGATGTCAGAATTACTTGTCAGATTAATACTGATAGCTTGCGACTCGAGCACCAATACTGAGTAAGTGTCTTTAGCTATTTAATGTAGGTGTAGTATTTCCATAAACTAGTATTCTTACCAGTGCTATGAAGTAGTAGCATTAAATATTTGTACGGATTTTACAAAAGAATCTGCAATGCTTTGTAATTAGAATTTTATCAATTATACAAGAAAGTAAAAACGCCCTGTTTAATATTTTAATAACTCGATTCGAGAGCATAAAATATACCCTACTTCAAAGCTCCACGCTTTCATACAAACACAAAAACAGACTGCAAATGGTTTTTATACTGGGTGAAATCAAGCAATTGTAAATGTTTAAAGAGTTTTCTTTTCTAAAAACTTTAATACAATATAATATTAAATGCTCCAGCAAATGCAATTCAATTCAACAGTTCATAAGCTGTATTTAAATATTAAAGCATCTATTAAGTACATATTTACAACTTATTTAAGCATTTTTAAGCACCATCATATCAAAAAGACAGCTGTCAATTAAAGTATAATTTAATGCTTTAAAAATTGAACATAGATCTTTTAGGAATAAACCTATCATAAATCCTATTTAAGATTCCTGTATTTTCAGCTACTGTTCTCTCATTTGTTCCATTTATGTATTCGTCCATATTAACTACTCTGAACTTGACAGCATTTCCAAAGCACGGCCCAACTTCAATATCTCTTTCATTACGATCAAATGGGCCGTAGACAGCACATCTCTGACCACTCCAATCCCTAAGCTCAAATATTTTAGACCCGTTTGGCACCGGCCTCAGTTTCCATTCAGAAAAAATATCAGCATATTTACATAGCCTTAAATCTCTCCCACCTATTCCATCATTACAAACATTTTTATCTCTGTGCTTTAATATTTCATTCCCACTCTGAAAGACTGTAGCTTCTTTTTGAGTCCTAGCGTCCTGCTCATTAATAAAGAAAAGAATGTTGTCTCTGACAGCAAGTATAAAATTTGGATTATGAGCATCATAGAGCTCAAATTCATGGGAAAGTGCTGTGGCACGGACAATGCCATTCACTAATAAAAAAATCAACACTAGAAACATAATATCATCGCTGTGCTACTGTATATATGCTACTTGAAACAAAATATCTTGTCATATAAATCAATGTTTTACTGTTTAACAACTGTCAAAGTAGAATTGTGAGTTTATTTCATATTTAACTTTAATTTAATAAGCTTAACTTTAATATGGCGTAAAATGACAACGAGCTATTACAGATATTTATTAAATTTGAAGAAGTCATATAATTTTATTTGCAAATGCTCAATGAACATGCCAAATCTGCAAATAAAGTTACTTCTTCCGGGAAATTGCAGCATTACGTTTTTAAAATCTATTGTTTTGGTAGGAATACAGTAATACACATCTTCAATTTGCTTTGCAATCGTTTTCCAGTTGTACTTCCCTAAAATATAACTGTAAAGCTTAAATGGATCATGTTGGTTAATCATCTTGAATGCATTAGATAACTGTCGGGAAATTCCATCCGCAGTAGGCTCACAAAAGAGTATTCCCTCGTTGCACAGTATTTCATGGATTCCACCAACATTCGTACTGACAACTAACAACCCACAGGCGGCAGCTTCCAGTATAGCCAAACAAAATGTTTCAGTCAAAGACGTGTTCAGGAAAATATCTGCACTTCTTAGAAAATCTGGAACTTTCTCATACTCTACTTCTTCTAAAAGCTTAACTTGGCCATGCAAATCATTTTCATCAATAGCCTGTAAGATCTCTGATTTTTTCGGGCCATTGCCAACGATAATAACCTCAAAATCTTTGTTTTTGCAAATCAAAGGAAGAGCCTCAATCAAAAGATCAACACCTTTTCTAAAGACTAACCTTGACATTACAAGTATTCTTTTGGTTTTTCTTATTTTCCTTGAAACGGGATAGAATTTCTCAGGTATTATCCCGTTAGGAATCACAGATATTCTCTCAAGGGGTATATTTGTCCTAATATGTGTGTTTTCTTTTGAAATCTCTGAAACGCAGATAGCCCAGTCTACGTTCTTACATATAAATCTGCTTAAACCATTAACTAGTATTCTTTCAAACTTAGCCACTTCAAATAAAGAGTGATCTGTGATTACTGTCTTGATATTTAAATTGCTTGCATGATAAACACCTTCAAAGCATAGGCTTGATACAGTTTGATGGCCGTGGACAATCTGAATATTGTGTCTTATAAAGATTTCCCTGAAAAGAATGTAATTGGTAAAAAGTGTGGGAAATGTTCCATTTTTTGCTATTATTGGAATATCCAAATAATATACAACTAGGTTACCTATTTTCTTTACTCCTTCATAGTTTTCGTTTTTTGTTTTATACTTGTGAGTTATGATAATCACAGAGTGTCCAAGGCTATAAAGCTCTTCTCCAATTGTTTTTATGTGTGTCTCGACACCACCTTTGCTTGGATAGAAGAAATCTGAGACTAATGCAATATTTAAACTTGGTTTTCCTGCACTATTTAGATTGTGTTTGGTAGTTTCCATTTAGGATATAAATTGCATACAACACTAATTGCATACAGGGTTTGTCAAGAGAATTGCTGCAATAATAGCAACTTTGGGCGAATTAGTCCATGTCACATATTTTTGTTTTGCTTCTTGGATCGTTTTCCTTCCCAATCTTTGGTAAAATTTTTTAAAAATTTTCCCCCAATGGTACTCATTCCAAATAAAGATCCAGAAGCGGATTATCTTCTTGTAAGAGTTGTAGGTGGTGAATTGCCTGGTGCGACTTTCTCTCAGAGGGTTGGTCCAATGAAAATACCTGGTAAAGTTGTTGGTGAAGAAGTTAGAAAGCTCACAGCCAAAGAGTTCGTTCAGCAGAAGATTCATGTTCTTTTGAAAGTAAAGGATAGAAAGGCAACGTGTGAACTAATGCCTTCTACAGCGCAAATCATAATAAGAGAGCTTAAAGAGTGCAGAGAACCAAGAAAGAAAGGATCTGAAAAGGCACCAAGACTTCACAACGGATCTTTAAGTTTAAATGCGCTTTTCAAAGTCGCAACAGAGGTTAGAGCAAGATCTAGATCTAATTCTATGAAAGGGACAGTTAAAGAAGTTCTTGGTACAGCTAGAGCGGTTGGATGTTCTATTGAGGGAAAACACCCCAAGGAGGTAACATTTGCTGTTACAAACGGCAGAGCAGCAGTTGCTGAGTTATTTGGAATTGAGAATGTAAATTCTTTACCGGCATTTTTAGATGATTAAAGAATATTTGAATTATTCATGCGTTTATGTTCATTATACACTCAATAATATATAACTTACTGATCAATGTATAAATATTAAATTACAATATATTAAAAAGTATGCCATAAGGATTTGGATATCCAAATAATTTGATTGCAGTATAATGAAATTGGTTTTATTTATTAATTGATAGCTTATGCTTGCGATTATCGATGAAGTTTCTCATCTCTCGGATGAACATCACAGACACTGCAAAAATTCCAGAAAATATCACAAAGTATTCAAGAATTAGATGGTATTTGTGAGAAGCAACTTCACTTGTTGATTCTGTCAAGTAATCAACATCATTCACTATTTTTGATAACCTTTTCAATTGAACATCCAACTGATTAATTTTTCCATCCAAATCATTTCTGTTAGTTCTTCCGGACACGCCAGTCTTCATTTTTCCAACCTTTTCTGAGAGCGAATCGACTTCTTTAATCAGTTCCTTCTCTGCCTTTATTATTGATGTTTCAGGAAGCTCTCCAATCACAGCTTTGGTATAGCTTATAACAGCATTGATCTTGAAGAGCAAATCTTGGACATCCACATTTGGATGCTTGATCTCACTCTTTGGCTTGACCTGTGTTGTAATCTTCTGCATATTAACTTTAGTGACACTATAATCAGGTGTCTCTTCTCTATGGTAAAGTTGTGCATTTCTCAGTTCAAATGCTTTTCCAGATGATACGTGCTTGTAATCTGCAAACAGTGATAGATAGCTTCCACCTTTAGCAAATTCCAGATAGTCTTTTGTAAAGAATCTGAAGTTGTCGTAAATTACAGTGTCTCCGTCATAAATCTCAACTTTAAAGTTCTTATCCGTACAGATAACCTTAAGCTTTAATGTCTCAAGGTTTGAAAATCTTTTTGGATTTAGGGAATCAATCACAGAGACGTACTCATCCATATTGGTGTAATCAATCCCATCATTCTTAGCATAGACAAGCTCCACACCTTTACCAACAAACTCTAATCCAACAGCAAACCCATGAAACTTTGAAGGCCCACCCTTAAATGATCCTATGACAGGCTTTTCTTTTGTATAGAACAGGAAAATGCCAGCGGATTCCCTAGATTCAAGGTTGAGCTCATTGAATTCAAATGTGAATGACCAGTTGTTTTGGGGATTTTGGATCTCCCATCTAACCATAGCACTTTCATCTATTGTAGATCTCATAAAAAGCTTGTCAGGTTTTACCATGACATTTTGAATTCCAATGCGATCATTATAGACGTGAGGAATGAAGCTGATCTCATCAATGACAGATTCGGTGATGTCATTGTTGTTCGTGGTATTCTTTATATTCTCAGTGAATATCCCAACAAGATTCAGAAATAATCCAAGCATTGCTTGTTTTTAGTTTTCCCTTTTCAATATAATCTGAAACTGTTTTAAGCTATTTACAAAATAAACAAGATTGAAAAACTCAACATTTTATTATATTTATTAACAGTAGGCTGCAATAGCAGCACTCAGCAATTCATTTAATAAGCTTAATTTAAATTTACAACATACCGTTTAATTTTTAATTTGTCAATTGTGTTTGAATATTGCTAAGCAATGGCACTGTCATTTAGTGCATATTAAAAAAAATTAGAATGTATCGAGGCTGTCTAGTTTTGATGTGCTGTCACGGGCTATCTTATGGATATATACTTTATTTAAACTTAAGAACAATGCCTAAGATTACATTGAAATTAAAAGTAGTTTATTGGTTGTTAACCTCAAACAAATATATCAGCGATCCGACAGTTAAAACTTGCTTTTATTTAAGTTTCCTTCAGAATTTAGTTCCATGGCACTATTTCTATTCTTCATTACTGCACTATGCTCAACACTGATAATTCCTAAGGCACATCTAAATCACAGGCTTTCTTATCACAAAAATGGGGCCAAGTTCATCAACAGCTCTGTTAATGAAAATACACGGGTCGATGACTACTTTGATTTTCCTGACAGCTTCAGCTACCTCAGCAGCTCAGAATACTCGCTGTGCAGAAATTCAAACAACAAGCTATACATCTGTCCAAAGTCTATCAAATCTATGGCTTGGAAGCTTGAAGACATAAGAAGAGAAGTAAGGTTCAGAGATCCTTACGGTGATTGCCTTACAGTTGGGATGCATAATCTTAAAGATGATAGCTATAATGTTGAGCTGAAGGAATGCTCCGAGAAAAACCAAAATCAAATATTCATACTATTTAGTGATCATGGTAATATCAAAACTTCAGAAATTACAAGGAAAAACATAAACAGTGTGCCAGAAAACGAAAAAAATGATTTTAGAATGAAAAATATTAAATTTAAATGGTATTAAAGTGAAATTTCAACAATTACTGCTCTGGTTTTTAAAATCATCACTTTAGTCGTGTTAGAACTGTTCAATACCTTCAACACTGTTCGATTCATTTTTACTATTAATGGTAAATAAATTATGTCAATTTTTAATGTTTTTATTTTATTTTAACTGTTTAATTATTTTTTAACTTTTGAAAAATTTTAGATGATCAAACTAGCATATTTTGAAATAAAAGTGACAGGAATATCCAATTCCTTCAAATTTAAATAGGTTAGCGATGATCTTTATTATACCTTGATTTAACTCTTGCTTGCAATGCTGGTATTATTGATTTGGCTATTCACTAGTAAATATTGCACGTGTTGTTCTTTGATTAAAATATAATCTGTTAATCAAACGTCAATTGCTTATTTTTCTTAACAGTCAAAAGATCATTAAAAATCTTTATCATTTGTTTAATAAAAACGTTAATTATTAAAAAAATGTCAAATGTCTTGACACATATCACATTCATTATATTAAGCTATAATTATTGATCTTAAGTGCACTTTTCTTTATATTTCTATACTAGCTATTCAAAACTCAGATTAGCTTGTTTAAAAGTCAGAGAAGTAACGGCGATCAAAAATGTAAAAATCAATACATTCCAACAATCAACAACTCCACTTTTACTTCCCTTTATTTCAAATCATTGGCTTTGATCTGTCTCCTAAATCATGTACTTTCTCTAAAAATTTTGCAAAAAATTTAACTTCAATTCAATAATTAAAACAACTGAAATTGCCAATAATATAATTGTTTTGAAAATTTTAAATTGATTTGCCACCACAATTGAATTCTTATAAAAATTTGTATTTTTAGTGTTAAGCTTTTGTTTTAAATTCAATTTATATCATATTTTTGAAACATACCCTTATGTCTACTGAAAGTGAAGCAGTTCAGAACAGTTCAGAGCATGATAGCGTAAAGAAACAGGCTATGATATATGAAGATGCAGATCAGAGACAAAGAGTAATGGAGGATCAGCAGATGAGATACCATCAGAGTGTCAGTCCACCACCTCATCCGATGATGTATCGGCATGGAATGGAACAGCTTATGATGCGTCAAGCGATGCCTCGTTCGATCTCTCCACGTATACAACCTACCGAAGATTCAGATCTTACAGATGCAATGATTTTTCTTAATAGAATCAAAGAGGAGTTTAATGATAATTTGCATGTTTATGATAGCTTTCTAGAGACAATGAGAGACTTTAGATTCGAAAAAATCGATGCCGAAGAAGTTTGTAAGGCTGTGAGAATTCTTTTCAAAGACAAGCCTCATCTGATTCGCTTGTTTGATGAGTATCTTCCTCATCATTTAAGATATTCAGATATGAGTAGAAGTTATGACATGCAAATGCCAGAGAGACATAAAAATGCCTCATTTAGAGGATCAGGATTTATTCCTAAGCCACCTGCTCCTATGCATGTGGGTCAAATTCCACCTGGATCTGCTTTGCATATCAACAGAATGGGGCATCCAATACCAACACATCCTTCGTTTATTGGGAGGTCTGTCAGACAAAGCCCTCCGCCTCAGATGAATGTTCCTCAAGAATCTCAGTCGAGATTCAAAGCTACAGCACCCCAGCAACCACAGTCACCAAGACATAAAACCGCACACGATTTTGTACAGCAGGTTAAGAAAAGATATTTAAATAAGCCATTGATATATAAACAATTCGTAGATCTGCTACAAAACTCTAAAAATAGCTTTGAGAAACTCTATACCCAAGTAAGTGCATTGCTCTGTGATTCACCTGATTTAATTGAGAAATTTGAAAGGAATTTTAAGACTCCACAATCTCCAGATGGAATGATGTATACAAGCGACAGAGATCCTCTCAGAAAGATTAAACAGAGGCTGCAGAGCAAGGCAATCTTGAACAATTCTTGAAAGTTATCAATTATTACAATCAAAATTACCTAAATGCTAGTGATGTTATCACTCTTGTTGAACCATTAATAGAAGATAAAGAGAACATGGCTGCTTTCAAATCATTTATTAAATATGAAGAGGTTGTGTTAGAAACCGAAGCAACTAGATATAAAGGATTAGAAAAGATAGGATCATACAAGATACTTCCAATAGAGATCACTTTAGATTCCTCTATACCCCTCTTTAAGGAAGTACTCAACTGTACCTGTGTTTCTGTATCTACACATGAGTCGGAAGATGACACGTATGTTTTTAGACATAAAAACCATTCCGAAGATCTTCTCACCCGTATTGTAGATGAACGATCGGAGGCTGATTTAGTTATGGATCGCCTAAAGTATTTAATCATTAAACTTGAGGAAATCTATGAATCAGTTGAAGATGTTGAACTTGCTCCTAACGACATTCAAATGTCAGGTTCACTGGTCAAAGAAACATTGAAGAATGTGTATGATACCAAATGCCCCGAAATTCTTGAGTCCATTCTTATCAATCCTAAGAAGGCTATTCCTGTGGTTCTTAAGAGATTGAACAAGGTTTTTAGGGAAAATCTAGAACGATTACGTGATTTCAAAAAGTTCTGGCGGGATATTGCTGAAGAACATTATTACAAGGCCTATGATACTAAAGGCGTGCTGTATCGTTCCCAGGAGAAGAACTATCTTTCATTAAGAAACGTTGAATGCGAGTCTCACAGCCCCTTATCTTTCGACGTGAAAGATTTTGAATTGTTAAGCAATATACGAAATTTTTTTAGTGTTTTTGCTAAAAGTCACGCATCTAACAGTTTTAGAAAGCCAGCCGTTGAAGCCCAGCTTCAAGTTTTTGATTCACTCCTTGAGGAACTGTACAAGGAGTCCACATCTAAAATAACGAATTTTAATACCTATGCATTGTACTATTATCTTCTCATGCTTTATACTCGTCTTGAGGAAATAAAGAAATTAAAACTAGAGCCTATTTCCTCTAATCCAGTAACTGTGTCTATCTCTCTTCAGGAAGAATATCACATTGAAGATCGATATGCAGAGATATTAAAAGCAGCCGAAGAGCTCATGAATAAGCAACTTGATGCAGATAGATTTGAGGAGATTGTAAGAAGAATGACTGATAGTATGGGATACAAACTGTATAATTTTAAGAAAATAGTATCAAAAATAGAGAGACAGGTTAATAGTCTTATTGAGGGAAATACAGAAGAAGTACAGGATGAAGAGGGAGAACAAGCCAATTATTCCATAGTAAAAGCCGGAAGTATTGTAACAATTCGTAGGGTTGAAGATAGTGCTATTGAAGAAGTTTCAACAAATAAAAATTGAAACATTTGAGTATTTTAATTATGTTTACACTCACCTACTTTAATATTTACCTTGATTATCTTCTTTAATACTTCTTTGCTAACTTTTTGTTGGTAGTTTAACAGTGTTTTTAATTAGATTTGTGATTGTTTTTGTCTTTAATAATTTGTACAAAAATTGAAGGCAGTGTGGCCCATTTGAATCTAAGGCTTATTTCAAGAATAGTCAGCAAAAACAATTAAAAACAACACTGTTATGAAAACATTTAAGCCATTCAATAAAGCAGAACTCATTGTAATGATAGATTGAATAATACAGTGCATCATGTAAATGAATTAAGGTCTGTTATAAACGTATGTAGTATTGCTCTTTGATGCCATAAACAGAATAAGCACAATAACTATTAAAATAACAACTCCAACAGCTATCCTTTTGATGATATTCAGTTTTCTTTGGTACGCCAAAGCAGATTCAAGCTCTTTGTTCGCTTGCTTCGTATTCATTTCTGCCGCTGTAACATTCACAACGATCTCATCTACAACCTTTGTGTTTTTATGAACCATTTCATCTATTTCATCTATCAAAGCCACAAGCTTATTTATATTTTCCACAATGTTGTCTATTTTCTTTCTTCGATACTTGGCCTGTTTCAGCATTTGCTGTCCAGAATGTGTTCCTAGTGAAAATGCCGTATTTAATGATGCCTCGGAATCAGAACATTCAACAATCTTGTCAAGCTCAGCCTCACTTACGTTTGGATTTACAATCTGAAAGGCTTGCTTCAACAAATCTTTCTCCTTCGTCTTATACTCACTCTTCAAGTTTCTATAGGAATATACTGCATCAGATAACTCCTTATAATACTTATACGTATGGACTTTCCGTATTTCAATCTCTTCTTTAGTCAATTCCCCATTCTTCTCCAGTTTATTGGTCTCTTCTTGGGTACTTTTGATAGCGTCTTTTACAGCATGACAAATCTTGTCGAATGTGATATCTAATGTATCAATCTTCTTATCCAGAGCAAGCTCCTTTTCCTCAGTCAGCACAGAAGTCTGTTTCATTCTAATACATTCTTTCATTTCCTTAATTATTTTTCTAAGCTCTTTTATATTCCCCAGTATCAGTTTACTGTTGTCCAAAAATTCAATCATAAAGGGGAATGTTATGTTTCATTTTTGGACCCTCTGCATGAAGCTGATTGGCGCACATCTTTCAATAGCGAAAGGTCTTCACACTGTGCAGAAACAAATGGACATTTTGGGTTGTGAAACTTGTGCAATATTCTTAAAAAATCAGAGGAAGTTTGAATCTTCTGAACTAAGCTTGGCGGAAATTGAAAAATTTAGAAAAACAGTGAGGAATCCCACAATAATTCTACCGCATGGCTCATATTTGATCAATTTGGCCAATCCTGATACTGTAGAGAAAAATATGACATGTTTTTTGGATGATTTGAGGAGATGTCACAAGCTAGGAATACAACTGTATAATCTCCATCCAGGATCGGATACTAAAAAGATAGGGACTGCAGCAGCCACTAAGCTTATTGCCGACAATATAAACAGAGCCATGGAGGAAGTTCCTAACATATCAATTTGTATTGAAAATATGGCTGGACAGGGGAATGTCCTAGGAAAGACCTTTGAGGAACTAAGAATGATAATTGATAATGTAAAAGACAAGCAAAGAATAGGAATAACATTGGATACATGCCATTTATTTGTTGCAGGATTTGATATTAGAACAGATGAATCTTTTGAGAAGTAATAAAAGACTTTGATGATAAGTAGGGCTAAAGTACTTAAAAGGAGTGCATCTTAATGATTCCAAATTTGACCTGGGATCATGTAAAGATAGACATGAGACGATAGGAAAAGGGAAATTAGGGTTAGAAGCATTTAAATATATTATGAATAGTAAGCATTTTGACAATATTCCATTGATATTGGAAACACCTGAACCAGAGAAGTATCACGAAGAGATTGGGCTACTTAAAAGTCTTGTCGTTGATACAAAGCATACATTTCATTAAATCAAATAAATATTAAAAACGGTTTTCATTTTTAATTTAATTTTTGCTTGTGTCAAAATGTCTCACTGAAGAAGACTTCGGCCATTTCTGTTTGAATATTATTTGTGGATTTTCAACCCATGGAATTTTGTTTTTATATATTTTAATAAATAATAATACCAGTAAAATACAAATGATGTAAAGTAGAGTATAAATTACATAATCCTTGAATCCACAGTAGTTTCCTGGAATTTTTTCTATTTCTTTATTGGCCTGTTCTAAATACATGTTTGATTTGTCAAAGCAGCTGTCAATAGTATCAATAAGGCATGTCTGTGATTTTAAAGCCATTTTCAATTGAATTAATGTATTTGTGACATTGAAAATGCTTGTTTTAATATTGTTGCTTCTTTGAATTGTCTCTTGCAGTATTATTGTTTCAGGGTTCAATGCTTCCAAATAGTCAAAACTGTGATTGGAGCTCTGTGCGATATTAAAATTTTGAATGGTTTTATCACTTTTACACAATGATTTTTGCTCAAAATTTCTAAATTTTGCCAAATAAATCCTTAGATTGTTCAGCAAGTACTGTTGAACAGATTCCACAATGTTCTTTTCTTCACAGTTGAATGATTTGACATTTTGTTCTATTTCCTTGACAAGTGTCTGAACCCTACCTTTTAAATCATTGATTTCCCTATATTTCTTTTCTTTCGATCCGAAGTTTGGCAGTGTGCTCATTTCCATTTTATTTTCCAACTGTAAAATGCAAGATCCCAGGGCAACAAGCTGGTTTAAAATAGGATGTATTGAAATACACGCATAGCTTTTGGTCGGTTTTTGTCTTATTTTAAGGAAGTATTCAGTCTTATTCTGGATCATTGCTATTTTGTGTATTATTCAGAATATAGCTTTTAAATAGTAATTTTGGAAGTACAACAAACCTGAAACATAGAAAATATTGAAATAGGACAGATATTATAAGAAATTAACAGGACATCCAACAACAAATGCAGAAGGTATTTCTACATGTGGGTGTTTGTTGTAAATAAGAGCTTGGTGCATTAAAAAGAAATAATATCGTTATTGCAGTGTACTTTGACATAACGGATTTTTCAATATTCTTGATAGCTAAAGCTTTCAAAATGAAATGACATCCATTAAAATAAACTATGACGTGCAAGGTTCTTAATGATTATCTATGACACATCACTTCTTATTGAAGATAAAGAAAATCTTCAATTTTTGAAAGTACATCAATGTTGATTTTATACGGATAGATAATGTAAATATTGCATCTTGTCTTCTTCAAAGATCATCGAGTGTGTTTATCAAAAATTCACAATCCCAATAAATAGAAGTGCCAGGTAGCTTTATCAGTGAAATACTGAACCGCTTAATTTTTCTAGTACCTTTAAACGAGTATTCAAATTAATTAAAGATCAAAATTTACTTATATGCTTAAATAACATGTCAAAGTCACTTGAAATTCAGGAAAATCATTGGTTATATCATATAAATTATTATACTTTAGTTTAATCTTAACTTTGATGTTGTATAGACAATAATATCATTTTTTAAGAGCATAATTATCTCAAGCCAATGCTTTTCGGACCTTTAATATGGACGGCATTTTTCCTGTTCAGAATACAAACAAAACATGGAAAATAAAAGCAAGCAAAGAACTATGCGTTAGCTGGGAATCGAACCCAGGCCGTCAGCTTGGAAGGCTAAAATCATACCATTAGAACACTAACGCTCATATTAAAGTAAATACATTTAATTTAATATTTTTATACTTTATTTTGTATGAAAACGGCAGTTAAATAGTAAATAATTATTTGATTGTTATGTTGGAAGTGCAAAAGCAACTGCTATGACATTAATTTAATCTTATTTTAGATCGATTGCATTTTCCTTTTTAAAATCAATAAACGTTTCAGCGAAGTGGCGTGACCAGCTTTGAGATTAAATTTAAATAGCCTGTTTTATCTATTCATTTTATATAAAGTAAAGTGCTATCCATCAATTTATGTGTTGTTTATTTCAATAAATTATGGAGTTGTACTGTGCTTTATCTTCTTTATTGCATCTTCTTTTTAGTCTTATTTTCTTGATTCAACAAAAATGATTTTCATTTTTAAATAACAAAAAATATACCCACATGAAAATACCTTTTAGAGGAAAATTCCCCCCGTTTGCAGAGCTCGTCAGTCTTGGAAGTAACTTCTTTTTGAGATCGATTCTATCCATTGTAATGCTTTCAGCCTTTTTAAAACTTTGTGCCATGGACAAACTTTGGCTTGTTTTACTATCTTTTATATTGACATTCGGCATATCATTTGAACTGATCTCAATCACTAAGAAGAAAAGTGAAAACTATGTCCTGAGTCCTTTGCTCATCGCTACGATCTACCTTGCTATTTTTTTCTTCAATACTCTTCCTGCTTTAGTAATGGTCTACCCTGAAAAAAAAATACTCAGTAGACTCAACTCTTTTAAACCCTTGGTCTTTGCCTTGTATTCTATTGGCTTGATGTTGTCAGTTATCAGTTTTACAAGAGAGTTGTTAGTACCACAACTCCTTTTACTTGCTATGACGCACATCGCTGTATCCGTATGTAGTCTTGCCTGTGCCCTTAGTATCAAAAACATCATCCATGGGAAATTCTTTTATGTCTACCCTGCTCTACTCGTTATTATGAATGATATATTTGCCTATCTCATAGGAAAGTCATTCGGCAGAACACCTCTGATTTCACTGAGTCCAAACAAGACGGTTGAAGGGCTTGTTGGTGGATTTATCTTTACTTTTATTACTGGAATGGTTCTGTCGTTCCTGAAAATTAAAGGGCTATTTTTGTCTGACATGATGGATGGCAAACTAAGTGAGCCATTGAATTCTAGTAGATGGTATCTCAAGTTTCCTTGTGTTTACTTTCACAACTTACTGTTTGTAATGGCTGCTTCATTTTTTGCACCTTTTTGTGGCTTTCTTGCCTCAGCCATTAAACGTGCATTTGGAAAAAAGGATTTTGGTGCCCTAATTCCTGGTCATGGAGGAATAACCGATAGGTTTGACTGCCAGGTATTAATGGTGTTCTTTACATATTACTATTTGAAAGGTGTAATGGATTTTGAAAATTCAACAATTACAATAGCCTATAACTATTTGATAGACAATTTGAAAGATAAAGAAATTCAGAAACTCTCGGAAATACTACGTAGAAATGTGCATTAAATTATTTGTTCAGTGGGCTTGTTTTAATTATCTTTTTAGTGATTGTAAAGTGGGAATGCATTAAATTCAGAACCTAGAAAGAGGTCAGAAAATCAGTGAATTTATGCTCAAGCACCCATTCTAGGAAACTTATGAATAATACCGTTAGTTACATCGTTGTTGTAAATACTGGCTTAGAACGACAAAAAACTGTGTATAAATACACTTATACAAACAAGAGCATGCTATCTTTTGGAGCTGATAAACACTGTGAGTTAAATTGTCTTATTCTCACTTTAGCTATTCCTAGTTTTTTACACTTTGCCCATGGAAGAAGGCCTGCAGCTCATAAACCAAGAAAGGATTAGTCATGGATACACAATACATCATTTCAGAACATACAACAAGCACTGTAATAGAATGAAAAGGGAATACTTCAGACAGAACCACGATCTTTACCTTATTTATAGTTTAGAATCTAATCTGGCCAAGTTTAAAATGTTAAACTCAATAACCTTCTTATACAAGAACAAAAGACTGTTGAAGAAAAGTGATGCTTCTAAAAGTGATTTTTCAAGGATTTATCTGAGGTATGTCCTGTGTTTCATTGAGAATGAAAAGAACAGTTTAAGTATTGATGATTTGGTCAGTCTAAGACATGAACTGGCTGATTACTACTCTTTTTTAGATGACATTTATCGTATGAACGACAACAGACATGATTTTGAACAGTATAAAATAAAATACAAATGGCATGATGTTTCACTTCTATTTGAAACTCAGAAAATTTTAGACTCCTTTCTTAACAATTCATTCTTTCTGAATGACTTTCGATTCAATACACAGCTAGCCTTGAAAATTTTGGATGTTGAAAATAAAAAGATGGATCTTTTTGATTTTGTAAAGACTGAAAACGATCCATTTCATGTCTTTGATCGTGTAAATATTCTCTTTTCTAGAGTCTGTGAACTTGAACGGTTCCTAAATGAAAACTTTGTTGAATCGGAGTATGTTCAACAGCTAAAAAACTCAAGTGAAAAAGTACTTGGGTTTGTTAAGAAAGTAATGGAATATAACAGTGGAGTGTTACATTCTGACATTGATTCATTTACCGTTCCTGCTCATTTTGAATTAATCTCTGACCACTTAGAAAGTATGAAAAAGAATAAAAAGGTCAATCCATCAAAACTCAGATCAGTTCTTTTAGGTATTCTCGAGAAGAGACTTGCTGTTGATGTTACAGAGAGAAGCATGCCATTTCTACCTGTGTTTTATGATATTGCCAATGATTTTATCACGTATTCATCCGTTGATAATTCTATTGCTGGGCTTTTACAAGATTTCAATTTTCTCCGTAGAAAATAAACACCTGACTTTTAGTGTGTCTTATACATTTTTGTAGTTTATAATTTTATAATGCTTTTATGCACTAGCTTTTAGAATACATTCCAAATTAATACAATTTATTGATATTGTGGATTGTTATTTACCGTCAGACAAGCCCTGCTTGCGCTTGTCCGATATTGCTTCTATTCTTACATCCCCCCCTTTTCCATTAGTGCTTGTGTTATCTGTGCTTTTTCTCAAATAAATTGCTTGTACTGACGAAAATGAAGTGTTAAGCTCTGAAAATTCAATTTCATGCCCCATTTCCCTTAGTTTTTCAGTTATTCTGTCTGGAAGTGTTGGCTCAATCATTGTTTTGATTGGAAACAATTGATTATGAATCCTACATAGCGAAACTGCCCTTTCAAGCGTGTTACCTGCTAGCAAATATACTATTGTTGTTATTATGGCTGTTGGTATTCTTGTTCCACCTGCTGCACCAATTATGAGTATTTCATTATCTTTTATTAATATTGTAGGTGCAGCAGATGAAAATGGCCTTTTCCCCCCCTCTAGAATATTAGCTGGCATCTTTTCTAAGCCAAAGGTATTGTCTATCCCAGGAATATAAAAATCATCAATTTGGTTATTAAAAATAATACCAGTTATCGGATCAAGTAATTTGGATCCAAACTCAAGATTGATCGTGGATGTAAGAGAAACTATCATTCCATCCTTGTCTATTACGTTTAGATGGGTGGTTCCGTGGTCTTCTTTGTAGAATGGGATATTTCTGTATTCCTCACTTGACATAGCATTTTTCAGACTGAACTGTCTAAATATTGAAGTTGCTTTGATGTCAGATATGATGAGAGAAACTTTCTTTTGCCATTTGTCAAGAAATTCTGGGTCTTCAAACTTTCCTCGCTCTGCTGCCATAAATTTAAATACTTCAATTAAAATGTGATAAAGATAGAATGAATTTTCATTGTTACTTAAAATAAAAAGATCTCTGATGTTTATTCTTTCAAGGATCTTCAAAGCTTCAATGATAAAAAGACCTGATGTGGGTAGATTTGTTGTATAGACTTGAAAATCGTAAAAATGTCCCTTTAAAACGCTTCTCTTCTTCACTTCATACTCTTTTAGATCTTCTAAGGTGAATACTCCACCCTTACTGTTAAGGAAGTCTACTATTTGCTTTGCAAGGGTTCCTGTGTAAAATGAAAGAGGATCATTGGAAAGTATTTCCAGCGTTTTTGAAAGGTTATCTCTTTCAATAATGTCTCCTTCTTTTACTAGGTCTTCATTTCTTGTGTATGTACTTTTCAATCCCGGATCATCAAAAATATACTTTGAATTTTTTATTAGCTTTTGTTCAAGAATATTCGAAACTTTAAACTTTTTTGAAATTTCAATTGCATCTGTGAAGAGATCCTTCCATGGGAGTTTTCCATATTCTTTATGAACCTCGTAGAATCCTAGAACTTCACCAGGCACACCCACAGAGAGTCCTGTGGTTGTTGCTAGTCTTTGGTCATCCATGAACATTTTGTGATCTATTTTCTTAGGCGCTACCTCTCTAAAGTCAAAAGAGTCAAAAATATTGTCTATGTCAGTCCTTTTTTCTTATTAATACAAACCCACCTCCACCAATACCAGCAGAAAATGAATTGACAACTCCAATAACTAAAGCAGCCGAGATGGCTGCATCTACAGCATTGCCACCTCTTTCTAAGATTTTCTTCCCAACAGTTGAAGCAAGCTTACACTCTGTGTTAACAGCATAGTGGTAATATATTGAGTTTGAACAAACAGGACCATGACCTGCATTTTCAGACATTGCTAGGTGGAGGAATGCTAAGATCAAAGACCAATAAGCCATTTTGTTTTTAATGACTTTTATTTTTATACTTGAAACAATTCATATTTGAAGAAGGTTATTAAAATAGAAATATTTAAATAAAATTCATTCAACACTCGTTTACTTACGTGTTTATAATATTCGCTGTGTTTTTTTAGCTCTGGCTTTAATACTGGGACTCAAACAAGCTATTTTTGTGTTTTAACTGTTTGACATTTGTTTTTCATATGAATGTAACTAAAAATAGTTATAAACAAAGTGCTAAAGCTCTTACTCAACACACTCTACGAAGACAATAGTGTATAACTGACAAACAAGAAATATCAAAAACCCTAAATATAATCTACAGGCTTCATTAGAAGTGACACTTCTTTGCCAGTGATTTTTAAGCTTAATTGTTCAATCTTTTTATTTAGTACATAAAAATATATAAATCTTGTCCTTATGAAAGTACTTGTAACTTCCGACAACCATTTAGGATTTAAAGAAACTGATCCAATACGTGCCGATGATACATTCAATACATTTGATGAGATATTATTCATTGCCCAGAGAGAGAACGTGGATTTGGTTCTCCAAGGAGGAGATCTCTTCCACGAAAACCAACCTTCTCGTAACACATACAACAGAACAGTGAAAATCCTAAAAAAGTACTGTCTTGGAACTTCAAAGCCCAATTTCAAGGCAAACATCAGAATAAACACAGATGATCCAAATATGAACATTTCTCTTCCAATCTTGAGTATCCATGGCAACCATGATGATCCTAGTGGATTCAATAGTGTTTCACCTCACGATATTCTACACAGTGGAGGATTTGTCAATTACTTTGGGAAGGTAGATGATGTGGACGATATTGAATTAAAACCAATCCTCATTCAAGGAGATAGGAAAGTAGCAATCTATGGAATGGGTCATATCAAGGATCGTAGAGTCTATAGGACTTTTATCAAGGATAGGGTTAGGTACGTTAGGCCAGAAGGTGAAGAGTGGATTAATATCTTTATTGTACATCAAAACCGAACGTTTAGACCAGAAGAGTATCTTCCAGAAGATCTTATTAATCCATTTTTTGATATTGTGATCTATGGTCACGAACATGAAAGCATAAAAACTCGACATAAGAATTTTGAAGTACTCCAATGCGGAAGTACTGTGCGAACCAGTCTGTGTGAAGGAGAGATGGGTGATAAATTTGTCTATATCATTGATATTTCCGAGAGAGTGTTTATAAATAGGATTAAATTAGAAACAGTCAGGCCCTTTATAATGGATACTATTAAGATATTTGAGACAAATAACGCTAGTAGTATTAACAACAATATAACTGGTAGAAGTATTGATCAACAGATTAAAGACAAAGTTGAAGAAATCTTAGAAAGGTTGAATGAAAATCGAACTGGTTCTATGCTTCCTTTATTAAGATTAAGGGTTGATATTGATGGAAATTTAGATTTTAATAAGCATAATATTATAACGTCACTAGAATCTAAAATAGCTAATCCCAACGAGGCTCTAAGAATTTCTAGGAAGCAACATAAAGAAATACTTAAGCATAGTTCTATTGTTCAAAAGAACGAAATTGAGGATGTTTACAAGAACATTTTAGATGGCTGTGATTTAAAGGCGTTAGTGCAAGGAAGAGTGATTGAAGCGTTATTAGAGTTTCTAAACAAGGATAGTAAAGAAGCTTTTAGTAACTTAGTAAAAGATAGTGTTAAAAGTATTATTGATAATATAAACATGAATGACTTAGTTGCTGACAGTATTGAAGATGCTATAAAAAATGCAAGGGAAAAGATTTCAAAAGAAAACAATGCAATATTAACGTTAGATAATAAAATAAACAGTATAAATGATGAAAGCAAAAGTGACAGTGAGCTTTATGAAAAATATCAAAATTCCGAACTATATAAAACAATCCCTCTTCCACAACCGTCCATTTCATTTCAAAGTAGCTCAATCATTAACTTAAATAGCGATTATACTTTTATTGAGGATAAAATTGAAAATATTGAAAAAAAAGAAATTATTGAAAATGCACACAAAGAATTGGAAGAAAGAATCAAAAAATCCAAGATTGAGGATGACTTTGATGAATTATTTGGATTTTCAAAATTTATGCCAGATTAATAATTACTAATAAATTAAACTACATATTGAATAGTACTTTAATATTAAGTTGAGTGTTTTGTTGTATATTATATTGGAAATAGGCATTTAATGGATCAAACAGCCTTGTAATTGTTTTATTTCATATGATTTATTGTTTGTTGGTTCTGTTTTAGATTGTGTATTTTTATAAACAATTCAAGTTGTCTCAATATTTTAAGATATGATTACATTGTGGATAGGTTTTATACTAGGATTTGTGTTTTTCCCTATTCTTTATGCTATCATCCCCGGATTCTTTGGCATACACAAGGCCAAGCACACATTCTCTCGGACGAAAAGACCCAATCTACCGATATCTCAAAAGCTAAAAGAAGAAATAAAGAAAGGGTTGGTTCTAACGGAGAGCTTGGCTTGGGTAAACGTAGTCATCCAAAGAATATATTTCGATAGCATCCGAAATTACAACTTTGAGCATAAAATAAGACAGAGTATTATGAGGAACTTTGCTTCTGTAATGGGGGAGGGATTGTTAAGGAGTGTGAAAATAACGGGATTGAATTTTGGATTTGAAGCTCCATATTTGAAGAGTATCCGATTGATAACCTTGGATGAGTACAATAGAATATCAGAAAATGGTAAAAGTGATTTAAAATTATGTAACGATGAGGTAGTCAGTAAGGACATAAAACAGGGAAATTCAATATACTCCAACAGGATGATAAATTTTTCATCAATGTCAAATATCAACGACAATATTGATGAAAAACTCAATATTAAAAGCTTGGATGATATATTGGAGGATAAAGAGCAATCTGAAAATAATATATTGCTAAAATGCCCCGAGTTTGATAAAGACTGTGGGCATGGAGAAATATCAAGTATAAATGGACTACAAAGAGAAATTCAATTTGAATTTAATCAAAGCAATCATTTTGATAATATCAAACATCAGGAGATTTACAGAAATGTTACATTATTAGGAAATCTCGAATACAATGGCGCTATTCAAATGATGATTGAAATTGAATTACCTAAAGGCATTCATGTGAACTCAATAATCACTTTGAAGAAGCTTCAGTCAGATTTTCTCTTTAGAACGCCTGCTGTGGGATACAACACAAGATACGAGGTTACTTTGATTAACTCACCTGAAATAGAAATTGATGTATGCTCAGGACTGGTTACTGGCGATAGAAAACTGTACTTTCAAAACAGTATAAGTAGCTTCTTAAGGAGGACTGCTTTTAATTCATTAAAAAGCATGTTTTTCTATCCTTCGTGGTTTCAGGCAATATCGCCGATGGTTCCTTCTGGAAGATCATGCGAATTTATTCCTAGACAAATAATGATGGACAATATCGAGGAAGCCGAAGCAGAATTTGAAAAAATTTTACTGATAATTAACTGTGATTACAAAATTTTAGACATTAAAAATGATGTGGTCCATAGAAAAACCTACTCAATGATAAATAATGTAGATTATGTCAATTCATGGTCTTTTAAACTGCCAAAAGGCACTGCAACTTCACATAGAGACGGATTTTCACTTTATGAAGGATTGAGTGTTTATGAATCAAAGGTTTTATACTCATTTGAGACTTTAGAGATTTTCAAATCAATATTAGCTAATATCAAAGAAGTGAAGGTTATTCACAAAAAGAAAAGCATTTCACTGATTAGAATTGTTATGAAGAACTATGAATTAGATCTTGTTCGGATGGTATACAAAAATAGCCTTATGTTTTTCAAAAATGGTTCAAAATACTCGGAATTTTTGGCCTTTAAAATTCAAGATGAAGAGCTACATCTTTTTTCATTTTCCAATAAATCCTCTGATCTTTTTATTAACAGCAAACGAGTCATAAAACTAAAAAAGGCTATTGAAAATCCAAGTGAACAGTCAAGGCTAAATCAGTCAATTACAGACTCGTTTTTACCCACGGAAACGTCAGAAGTTAGCGATACAGAAAGTAAAATTTTAGGTATTGAAGAATTATTCAAGGAAGCATTGAGCTCAGAAATAGACTCATTTAACATATTTGACATAACATTTCAGTTAAAAAAGAGTGTTTTGCATAGGATTCTCCTTGACGATTCACTTAGAATGAAGAATTTTAATGAGTCAGCAAAGATTATTAGCTCTCAATATCAAAGTGAGAAGATCAGGTCCTTTGTAGTGGAATATCCAGTGAATGATGAGAAAGAATGTGTCAAGATTTATAGCTTTTTTAGTAAAGGCTATGTTATTGATCTTTGTCCAGAGAAAAGTGGTGTGTTTATTCACAATCTTATAAAAGTTAAATCCAAAAAGACTAAGGAAAATGACACAAGGAAATTTAACGAAGCCCCAAACAGTCTTGCCATGGTCGAGTCTGACACCAATGAATTTGACAGCAGTCAAAAGCTATTAAAAAGTATAAAAAGTTCTAAATTAGAAAATAGTACAAAGCTTCACATTCTGTACAAATCACTTAGTACAGTTGTTTTTCCAAACTTCTTTATTGAAGTAATAAAGATAAAATCAAGTTTTCTTAAATACTTTAATCTAGCAGATAAAATAGAATATAAGCACTCTAGAAATGAACTAAAAATTGAAAGCTATGTCAAGAAAGGCACAATCTTCCTTCAGTTTATGACAGAAATAGAAGATGATTTTTCATTGTCTATTTTTAGCTGTAAAACTCAACTGATAGTTTTTGAAATATACAAAATTATCAGCTCAAAGGAATTTACTTTAATATATCCAGTAGATAACGATTATATTAAGATTGGCATTGTTTCCAAGCATCGAAAGAACATTTCTATTGATTATAAATTTATAAACTTTGAATATGATAAGGATATTTACTTAAATGGAAGAATAGGACTCGATAACAACCACAAATTAAAAATAAAAATAGAGGGTACGCCTAGTCATGTAATATTCTGGGAGAAAAACTTTGGAATTCCACTAAAATGCTATATCCAGGACAGCGAAGAAAAGAATCTAATAGGTGAGTGTGGTGTGTTACGGTCTGAAGACAGAGAGTACTTACTTGTATTTAAAAATAAAAAGGAGAAAAAAAGAAACATAGACATATTTGCAGGATTGGCAGAATTTTATTAGAGTCTTAGAATAAACATATTAGTTCTTTTAAAGTTCGCTAGCGCATTAACAATATAAGAAAGCTGTCCCTGTGTTGTTTAAGCTTGTTCAAGCTTATTCTCTGTTGAAACATGTTTTCTCTTTACCCTTATGGATAAGCCAAGCAGCAAGGAATCAAATACAATAAATACAGAAGAAAATATTGGAATTAATGATAGGGAATTTGTAGAATATCTGGAAAAAAATGTAGTGGTATTGTTAAAGGATGATATTTATTTATATGGTGTTTTTAAATCATACGATCAATACAACAGCATTACTTTGAACTATGTTTTAGAGAGGATCTTTCATGAGGGTGCATATGCAGAGAGAAGGCAAGGATTAATGGTAATAAGGGGAGAAAGCATTATATTTATTGGGATTGGAAAATTTGATCTAAGAAATTTGAGAATGGTGGACTATGAGTATTTGAGTAAAATAAAGGAAGAGCATTGGGAACTTAAAAAAAAGACATCTGTTGAGATTAAATAAAAATAGAAATGAAATCACCTGTCAAAGTTGAATGAGAATATAAATCTTGTACAATACGACAGTATTTTGTAAGGATGACGTTCATTCAATAAACTTAATGAGAAAGGCAAAGAAGATTTTTTGTATTTTGGATAGCTCAAAACTACAGTTATTTAGTGTGATCAAATAAGCTTATGAAATAAAGTTATAGTCATCTTGCCTATCATTAAATTCATCTATCTTTTTCTTAACCTTTGAACTGTCTACCCATGCGACAAAATCCTCCATAGTGCGTGAGATTAAGACACTTGGGTCATTTACTGTTTTTATTCCAACTCTAATATGCCCATGTTGAACAAATTCATCCGCATGAATAAATGTTTTGATCATTTTCTTTTTGACCATAACCATTGGCAGTCTACGCTCACAAAACGAACTAACATTAACTTTCGTACACTCGACAAGCTTCCTTTCTGATATTATACCAGCATCATAAAGCAAGTTTATTAGCTTTTTGGCAACAACTAACTTTGTTGGGTCATTATCACTTAGTCTACTCAATGTTTCTGATAGCTTTTTGATCATTCCCACTACTAGATTGTACTTTTTATATTCATCTCTTTCCTTCAATAGATATTTTGTTGTAACTAATTGTTCCCTTGTAGTGTTTGTCTTCTTCCACTCGAGGAAGTTAACTTTTTTCAAAAGCTTTTGCTCGTGGAACTTCAGCTTTCTCATTTGGACAGCCATAAAAAATTACAAAAATAGTAGAATATTTGATATGCTGCAGTATGAATGTACAATACGATGCATTGGTACTTTGCAGTAGACATCTTTTAATAGAACAGCACTTATAATCAAAATATATCACATTCTTAATAGAAAACTAGCCATTATTTAGTAAAGACGATATTATATTAAAATAGCTTAACGTTGTGATGTTGCGTCTGATTTCTTCTTCAAAGTACATTCATTCATCCTTTGAATAATACAGTTTTTTATATTAAAACATCTCTCTACAGACTTTAATATGGGCTTATATATAATATAAGATGGCAATTTAATTAATTAGGCTACCACTAGTCATATTTGCGGAGGCCATTGAACGACTTTCGTATAAATTGTAATGAGAAACTGCTCTATAGTATATAAATTTTGGCTGGTTCAGCAGCCATGATAGTGACATGTATATAAATATTGCCATAATCATTACCAATAGAAACATCAACAGCCTTTGGTAAATATTAAATCGGCCCAAAATACCGTACAAGTATCTGCCTCTTGTGAATGCATAGAATTCGCTCAGACCCCAGTAATATAGAATGAAAGTAAAAAGCATAGTTAGTTTATTGGAATCTATATCTGGGCATTGCTCAATGATAACGCCTATAAAAAGAACCAAAAATGGAATCAGATGCTTGGGAGATTCATAGAATACATGCTTATACCATGCTTGTGATGGCCGTTTGCCATCAACTACTAAGCTGGGATTTTTGAAAAACAAGATCCAAAACAATGCCGTTATTATAATTTGGATAACAAAAATCAAAGGAAGCATCTGCCTATATGCAACTCTGAGCCCTTCATACTTGTAACTAGCAATATAAACACACAAAGTCAAAATTGTGAATAAATATCCAATGTTTGTGAGTTGGAAAAAGAACTTATCTGAAATTATCTTTTTTCCATTTGAAGTGGCAAAAAATACGTTGTAGATTGGTTCAAAGTGATATATTGAGTACGTTATTAAAACAAATTGAGTTATACTCAGGACAACTATCCAAAACCACATTTCCATTTACTGTATATTAGGGCATTGCTAAAATTTTTTTTAAAGGGAAATTACTTCAATAGAAATGTTGTATTAGCAAAAATTAGAAGTCTCAAGTCAATTAATAGGGTACTACGTACATTTTAGAACATCTACAAAAGTATTTATCTATTTATTGGATATGTTGTTTGTTTGGGAAATAGTTTTAATTTAAAGCAGTTTGTTCAAAATTGAGACGTGGAAAACTCCGCATTTTCAAGAGTGTGTTAGTCTATCAAATGTGTATATAAAGTTTACTGTTAGTTAACATCCGCTTAAATCAAACATTCAACGACTGAGATTTATTCGTGTATAAATTGTAATTTAATGAAGAGTATTTCTATTGATATATTTGAGTTAAAAGTACTCGCAATTAATTCAATGCGTAAAACTACCCTGCGGCTGAAAGATGACTAGAGCATATTATCCATTAAATCTTAAAAGCAACCAAAAGCAAAGACATTCTATCACAGTATTACACGCTTTATTCTATGGTGTAATCAACCTTCTTTGATCTCTCATATGCTTCTCTCGTATAAATGGGAAACATATCAGAGAACTGACAGTTATAAAATGGCTCCTTTTGAGAGTCTTTGATCTTAATTAAATTTACATTACCACTATGAAGATAGGTTCTTACTTCATTTATAATTCTATTTTCCAAGTTTCTAATAAATGAAAACCCACCACAAATCAAAACATTTTCAATTTGTGTCTGTGGAAATATATTTTCAAATATTTCACTCAATCCCATTTGTTCAGAACCGATAATAGACGGGTCAAACATTATTTCTGGCCATTTAAGTAGCTCTACATTTACACATTGTCTTCCCAGGTTGTCTCCTCTCAAAATTTCAACGGTGTTAGCATAGAAAGGAATAAATTCAGGATCTAATTCTGTGATCTCAAGCGCTAATTTTTCAACATTTGAAATTATAGCATTTTCTTGTTCTTCATCTTCTGCATCTATAATTTGATATTTTAGTAGTTGCTCCTCTTCAGTTAGCTGTCCTTCCTTAAACTTAATAGAAAATTCCCTCGACTTTCTATTTCTTGCTTCTCTTCTCAGTTGGTCTCTTAACTCAAGTTCTCTCTTCAATTTATCAAACTTGGCCTTTTTCTTCGAAATATACTTTTTTAGATTACTTTGTTTTTCAAGCTCATCCTCAAGACTTCCAATGCTCTCATCAAGTTCTATGAACAGTTTTTCTACCTTTGTTTTGAGCCTTGAAAGAGTGCCACAGAATAACATCTTCATCCTTCTTTTTTCCTTCAATTGTTCTTTACTAAGGCTTTCATCTGGAATATCAAGAAGACTATAGTCTACCACAGGAATTTGTCCTGTTGATTTAATATCTACCTTTTTCATCTTTTTAATAGCCGGCTCGATCTTTTGTACCGTTGATTCTGTTAAAAAGATATTACGGTCATATATACCACTACACATATCATGATAAATGGATAATGCCTCGCTATCATAATTATCAGAAACCCTAAGATATTCAACAAGCCCCTTGTAATCTTTTCGACTTTCCCTATATTTATCGATCATGGTGTAATTTATGTATTCTAACATGTCCTTGCCTCCAAAATTAATTTTGTAAATATCAAATATTTGATATCCCTTAATAACACACACAATGATGCTGGAGTATTTAAAATCAACTACTACACAATCTTTTTTATCAAAATACTTGTGGTACAGATAAATAAAATCATATCCAATTTGAATCTTATTAAATTTGTATGTTTCAAATAGAAAATCGATTAATTCCTGTTCTGTTGGACTATATGGGGTAGAAGTAAAGATTAAATTCTCGATGAAACTGGGTTTCATGTATTCAAAAATCAAATCAATAGTCTGTTCTAAAACGTCAAAATTGATTATTACATCACCATCAAACATAGATCTAACTGTCGATGAAGGAAAAGGCTCCAAAGATACTTTATCCTTACTTTTAAATAATCTATTCCTGGCAATTATACATAGATCATTTAAATAACCAGCTTTGAGTTCAAAAGTGCCATTATCCATCACAATAGTATTACTCTGGCTTCTTGGCTTGAAGTAAATGTTTGGGTAATGTTTTTCCGAAGTATTGATTTTTCCATTTGAATCCAAGATTTCTGTGCTATTAGTGTTTTCAGCAATACTGGACCTATCTTGTGTGTCTTTTTCCCCAGAAACAGCCTCCTTCTTTTCATTTATAGTCATCTTTTTCACTGTCTTCGTCATTGAAGGAGTAAATTTTTATCTACATTACAATGAACATAGAAGAAATAAATGCTCAGATAATATCAATTATACCTATGTAATATCAATTTAGTTGTACTTATTCAACTTATTGTCCATATAATTAAAATCATGCTATAATTTTATTATGAGCTTCTATCTATATCTGCCCCAAAATGGCTACAGAAAATGGATTTCAGAAAAAATGCGCTAAAAAAGCAGTTATGTTCATGAAAAGCACAGATAATTTCATGAAAATTGATGATCAAGAGATAGTAGAAGCATTAAGTAGCAAGCATCATTCCCTTTTGTACTATTTGTACTTGAAAAGTGGAAATAAAAGCAAAGCACTTGAAACTCTTCAAAAAGCTAGAACATCAAGATTCGCAATTGCCCAAGTAAAGGAGATTATATTCACGTATATTTATTTTGAAGACTTTAATGGTGCCTTGAAATACATTAAAACATATGACAATTTGGTACCAGAGATTGTTCCGTTGGAATGCTTAATTAATATACATCTGGCTGATAAGTCTAGCAATAATATAGACGATGTGGTATTTTCCTATGTTTCAAAAGGGCTTGAAACCTTTTATGATAGAAATTTACTTGAGATTTTTAAAGAATTTTACTTGAATTCACCAAACAAAATAGCATTCAAGAAGAGGTTTGAAGATATTAACGACACCATTCTGACACTATATTACAATAATCTTACATATAAGGAAGCTAAATATTTGTATAAGATTATGCCTGATAAGTTATCTTATTTGAAAAAAATGGTTGAAACCAATCCTTTTATTAAAAAGAAATATTATTTCCAGTATGCTAACAAATGTGGAATTCACAAAGAAGATATCATGCGTATTTTATCTGTAAAATATCGTACGTGGGCAATGAGCATTGCTTTATTTAATGGATGGCTTGATAAATCAGCTAAAACGGCATTTGAGATTGGAAACAAGGCATGTCCGAAGTTACTGAATAAGCTAGGGAATTGGAATTGTGACTACTCAAAATTTATGTGTTTTTCAAGAAAGCACACAACAGATTAGAGCTAAATGACAATTAACTGAAATATTCTAATTTTAAAATAGATTGAATGTCAAGATTGATATCAAAAGTTTCATATTTAATATAATTACAATGTAAAGTATTAATAAATTGCATAAAACAATTACATAGCTTTACTAAATTTCTGTTAAGATTTAAAATCACACCTTCGTTTTTATTCAAATATACCTTTTAATCTGCTCAGGCGTAAGCATTTCCACTTTATCCTTGCTTACAATAGAAACTTCAACGTTGTTCTCGGTCAGCTTTTCTTTCATTACTCCTTTCAAAACTTCTAAAATTTTGGGAATACTTTTTTCTCTTTCACTATAACTTTCATATTGCTTCTCTAAAATATCTTCAACTACTTCAGATGCAGCGCCCATTGCCCTAGCTTGATATTGAAGGTATGATCCGCTTGGATCTATACTGTATAGTACAGGCGTGTTGTTTTCAAAGGCTGCAATTAATAATGACACTCCAAAGGGTCGACTAAATATCTTTTTTGAAAGATCCTTTTCACTAAACTTCAAGGCTAAATCACAGATATCTTCCATAAGCTTTTCTACTCCGATTTGTTCTGAAAAAAGTTTTTCATGATCTAAACATATACTTCTGCATTTATTAATAATTGTCGGTGCATCTCCACTCACTCCTGATACTGCAGCAACGATTGTATCGTAAATTTTAAAATGTTTCTTAACACTATCGGGATTTTGGAGTGAAGAAAGCAATTTTTTTTCAGATGCAAGGATAACGCAATCTGAAAGCTTTATGCCAATCGTCGTCGTACCCAAACCACATGCTTTCATTGCATACTCTACTTGTATGATTCTTCCTTCCTGGTTGTATGTATTTATGTCCGAATGGGAATGGCTCATATTTTGGGGCAAGTAAAATGAAAATAAATGATAATACACAAGAAGGCAGCTATGTTTGTAAATAACATGTGCAAATTGCATGTAATGAAATACAAGAGTATATTATAAATAAAATTATATATTCAAATATTAAAATGGTATGGATAAAAGTATATATCATAAATAATTAATTTAAGCCTGTCTTAATCTATAAGCTAATTTATTTATGAACGTAGATATTCAATCCTATCATATATCGTGGGGTGATAACTTTTTAATGAATTAAACAGCCATGTAGATTGTAAATTAGATTCCCCCTTTATTGTTATATCATAAAGTACTTTTCGACAGTTCTTTTCCATATCCGTGGGATTTTGCAACTGTGTCAGCTGAAAACTCCGAAACCTGACTGACCATTTTATGAAACATTAATAGCCACCTATTTATAAACAGAAAGTATATTAAAAATAAAACTATAAATGAACCATTCTTTGTTATTAAGCTGTCAGAAAACTTGTTTGAAATTGAAGCATAGATTTGAAGGACAACTACCATTTCAATGGTTTTGAGAAAGAAAAGTGTCAAAATCTTTTTTATCAATGAACAAAATTCAGAATGTCCTATTTCATGCATCAAAATTGCTTCAAATTCATTGCTTGTAAGATTTTGATAGTCACCATATATTTCAATTCTTTCATATGAGCCCCAACCTACTAATGCTGCATTTATACTTTGAGATTTTTTAAGTTTCTCTGAATATACTTTGTTTTGGAGTCCTCTTTCAATCAGATAATCTCTAACATTTTTTGAGAATTCTGAAATGTTGACTTTTTTCATGTTTTCTAAGTTTACATCCTCTAAGGATACAAAGTCAGATATTGCCTTAACAAAATATGCCATATAGCAAGCAATAATAAGCTTTGAAGAATATACTTTAAAGAGTTTCTTAAGTATCATGTAGAAAGTAGGTAGCACAAACAAGCCTAGAAATGTGTAGAAAAGAATTGCTGCTAAAGTCAAGCTTTCTCCTGAAAATATATTAGCAAAAATTTTACTTCCAAAAACCGAAGCTAAAAGGAAGGTGCTAATTAATGAAATAAATAAGAGTTCTTTCATCCTTACACTGTGTCTAAATTTTGGAAGTATGTCAATACTGCTTGATATTACAGTTTGTAGTGATTTTCTAAATATTAAATTTAGGAATAGTAATGAAGAGCCTAACACACAAAAATGCTTAAAAATTTCACTAGGAATTCTGTTTGTGCGCTTTTCAAGAGCTTTGAGTTGTGAATTAATGTATTTTTTGTCGCTTGAAATAAGCTCAAGTGTTTTTGAGTTGGCTGGTAGACCATATAATTGTTTTGATAATGAAAATTCCAGTTGACGGTCAAATGAAAATTCATTAAGCAAAGTAAGCATTCCTAGAATAAAAGAAGACCAAACAGCAATGATGAATACGTTTTTCATAGCTTTTCAAAATGAAAATTAAATTAAATGGACCTGAAACAATAGTTTCAAAAGAACTAATAATTGAAACTAATTGAAATTGCTTTAAAAACATTGATTTTGATACTGATTTATTGTAAAACTAAAATTTTTAAGTTTTAGTTTGAGTTAAAAGTTAAATGATTGTCCTCATCCTGACTAGAATCTTCAATCACTGTTGAATTTAAATTTGTAGAAAGTGTCAAAAGATTCTTTTCAGGCATATCAAAAGTGTTTTTACAAACTTCATGGTCATTGACACATTCATTATTGTGTAATATTTCTAAATTCTTATCATCACTATATGCTGCTAAATTAATGAATTGCCCAACACCATTCAATGTGCTATCTAATGATTCGTTGTTTTCGTATTTTCTACTTAATCCATCAGTAGCTATATAGCTCAACAGCTTATTATCTATTGGTTTGTCATTAGTCAACTGAACAGGATTAATGAATTCAGAAGACCCCTTAAGACTATCAACATTGTTAATATCATTGGCATTATAGATCGCATTTTCATCTATTGAATGGATAGGATTAATATATTCCAAAAATCCTTTCAACTTATTATTAATATGGATATCACCAATACTAGGAATTGTATTTTCGAGAGATGATTCAATCATAACGATCTTTTCATTTTTCCCAGAATTATTTAGTTTAAAATGATTAGTGTTTAAAAAACTAGTAGAAAAGACTGGAAAAGTAGGTGGAGAATACTGTTTGTTTTTCTTTTCTTTTGTACATATATTTGAAAATATAGAATTCCCAGAACCTGATAATAAATTGATTGAGTTGGACGATGGATTTAAGTCAGTACCAATCGAAACAGAATTTTCATTAAAACTAGGCTCAAAGATATTAATGGAGGATATGCTACCACTGTTGTCAACAGAATCAGTCAGATAACTTTTGTATCTTGAAGATGAATTCAACATCTGAGATTTTGGTATATCAAATGCCTGAGAACATTTGGGCATGACTTTTTTAGTCTTTTGTGGTACTCGTTCTGCATTACTCTTGACTTTTCTTGAAGATTTAACTGCAGGATAGTTACTTTCAGGTTTTATATATGCGTTTAGATCTTGAATGCTCTTCATACTTTCAGAGTCTATCGATGTATCTATTTTCTTAGCTTTAGTAATTTGATTATCATTTTTTGTTGATATTGCGGATTTACTATTACACTCTTTCAACATAAATTGCCCAGCTAATACCTTTTCTAAATCATATCCTGAGCTTTCAACCTTCAAACAAATATTCTTGAAAATATAATGCTTGATCTTAGTTTTATTTGTGCATTTTTCAGGTAATATAGTAGACAAATATTCAATTGCTAAATTCTTGACATGCTTAACGCTTTTTTCGGTTTTACATACATAGAAAGCAATATATAGGATGATAAACTCTATCATTTCGTCTACAAATAGTTCATCTTTCAGCTTTTCAAAATTTTTCATATCAATTGAAAAATTTTTATCACATGATGCGCATTCCATATAATTTTTGAAGCAAGATTCAATTTTTGAGTGTAAGCTTTTAAACTCAGTCTCAAAGTCATTTTCAAGAACGGAAGAACAATTCAATGTTGATAAATAACCTTCTTGTTTGAATGCAAAAATTATTTTATGTTTCAGGTATCTTTCAAACTCAGAGAAGGTGCTTCTAATAAAAACCATCCAAATTAATGCATTATCAAATCTTGGATCCTTTCTATATTTGCAACTTTGGTTTATAGACTTTATTAACCTTTTTTCAAATTCAAATTGCAACATTTTTGATGAATCTTCATTAAATTCTTGTTCATTATTTTGTATTGTATCAACCAACTTTTGTTTCTTCAAGCTATTGTTGTATTTTCTTGCAATTTTCTTTGGATCCTCAGTAATTTTACCTTTGTAAACGAAAAAATTTTCTAATTTGCATTCAAGCTCAACAACATCAAATTCACCTTCAAAAGATTCTAAAAATGGATCATTGTAGTCGTAGTCGTCAACCTTACGTCTTTTCTTGAGTTTTTCTGGCTTAAAATCTATCTGCATACTTTCAAAGATGTTAATTTGAATGTTTTTTCTCTCATCTGAGTTTTGAGTATCCATCTTGAATGGGCATTGTTGTGGAGCTGAGAAGTAAAGCAACTTTTCCATAGAAATTAAATATAAATATTGTGTGTGCCTAAAAGTTTTCATAATTAAACATAACATATCCACATTTGACCAAATAAAAGATTTATATCTTTTTAAATACAGAGTTTTACTTGATTTTATTAACAGAAGATCGATTTTTTTATTTTTATTTTTAATCTTTTATATTAACATTAACTACAGGCAAAAATACAGGCATACTTTAGGTTTTTATTAATTTCATATCAAATTTTGATCTAGCATATCGTTTTTAATATGATAAACTTCAATAACTGGCCCTTCCTTCTTTAATAACATTTCTTCAAAATCTATAAGACATAGGCCGATTGCAAATATCCCTTGATTTAATATTTCAATGCCAACAACATCATCTTTTTTAAAGTGTACTGATTGGTTTTGATATTTTATTACTCCAGGTGCCATCACATCAGCACCCCTGCTGAGTGGGCCAACCGCACCTTCGTCTAATACAACTGTTTTAAACAAACTTTTATCAAAATTTTGAATAGTTGGATAAATCCGATTGTAGTACTCAAAAAACAAGAATTTTTCCGAGTCACGTATTAACTTAAGCTTGCCGGTAATTTGAACCATTTTATATTCTGTTTTCATGTCTAGAACATTCCCCATAGCTACGTTGTACTTCTTTTTGTCTGATTTACTCATAGTAGAGCAGCATGTCTTTGTACCAATTTTGTCAAATAAGCCTTTCATGGGTAAACCCACAATTAATCAAATAAAACTATTTAAATTTAATACAATAAAATGGTTAGAATACCATCTCTAAAGCATTCCCAATTGCAAAGAACTTCATTTTAATTAATTTTTAAACTAACTCATTCGCTGAGATTTTTACAGCCCCAAAAAATGGCAGATAAACAAATTACAGGAAATACATTCACCGAAGAAGGCAGACTTTCTCAAGCCGAATTTGCGATTAAAAATGTAAATGATGCAGGAACTATTATTGGACTTGTGTGTTCCAATGGTGTTGTTCTTCTTGGAATAAACCTTGTAAAATCTTCAAGTATTGAAAAAATCTATAAAGTCAATGATAAGGCTTATGTGGCAGTCTCTGGAATATTTAGTGATGCTTTACGACTACTAAAATTTGCAAGAGTTAAAAGCGTTAGTGTAAAGGAGGTGTTAGGAAAATATCCACGTATTTCAGTACTATGTGATTTAATTAGTCAAGAGAAACAATATTATACTCAGATGGTAAGTGCTAGACCCTTTGGTGTATCTTTCCTTTATTCTGGCTATGAAAACGATGAATATGTACTTTTTTCAACTGATCCTTCCGGCACTGTAAACAGATGGAAAGCTTGTTGTTTTGGGATGGACTCTGATACCATAAGCTCTTGTCTTAGAAATGAAATTTCTGAAATTAATTACAATTTGGAGGAGGGTATTGAAAAGATCTTAAGAATATATGGAAAAACAAAAGAATGGAGTACTGATATTGCAGAAAGATTAGAAATACTTGCATTTAAAGAACGTAATAGTCGCATGCTCCATCACGAAGAAATTAAAGAGATTATTTCCAAGATTGGAAAAGAGACAAGTCAATAAATCGTATTTTACTGATTTGAACTGATTTTAATCTAATTACTTATTTAAGAAACTATTGCTTAATTTTTAAAAATTTCAAAAGATACATTTATTCAAAGAACAAATGTGTTAAAAAACACAACTGGATAAGCTAAATATATAATAAATCAATGTATTCAGCTTAAAACACACATGTAAATCAAACTATTTACTTATATTCTTGAGAATGCTTGTTAATATTGTCTAAGATAATATTGAATTCAACTACCTCATCAAATTCCCCAAGAGATCCTCTACTCACTCTTATTAAACTATCCAATTCAGATTCTGAATCGTATGCTATTGGCTGGCCATTAGAATATTTGGATTCCAATCGTTCACAAGGACTGTTAAGATAGCTAGCTACACCGTACAACTCTTGCTCAAGAAACTCTTTAATAAAAATATCTATCATTCGATAATTATAATCATCCTCAGCATACTCCCGATGGTCTGCACATTGAATATGCGTGTTGTAATCCTCATACTTTACATAACACACCTCACAGTATCCAGACTTTATCTGATTCTTTTTCATTGGTTTTACACTTCTTCTTGCATTTGAGAAAGGACAGCATAGTACAGGACTAGACAAATTAATAATGGGAGTTTCTCTAATATATTCTTTGTATATTGGCTGGAATTTTCCTTTAACATCCTCTATCAAAATGTAGGGAAATTTGAAAGTCGTATATTTTCTCATCCTTAGACCCTCGTTCTGTACTTCAAGAAAAACTAAAAAAGGCGGGAAAAGAGTACAGTCAAACAAACATAGTAGGTTGTTGTTTGTTATACTGTAGTTGATAAAATATAGCGTCACAATCACTTTCTTGCATTTATTTTAATTGATGGGTTTTTGTAATTAAGAGTGTTAACATGAAAATATAAAAAGTGAAAAAAATCAAACAACGACAGCACAAGACAAATATATTGAAAATACACAAATATAATTACCTGATACAAAGTATTAAATAAGAAAATTAATATTAAGGATGATTTTCTGACAGCTTTTTCATAATCTGCATACTAGGTTTTATATATTGTAATATTAATTGGCTAAATTGTGTAAAATAATATTCATTTATCAATTCCACTTGGTTATCAAATGTTGGTTTCTTGAGTTTGATAAATGATTGGACACTTTTGTAATAGTTTAAAACCATTGTGGTAGCTGAGATTACAAAAGTTTAAATGATTGAAATACACCTGAATAAATCACATTATTTTCCAACAAATATGATAGAAGGCCAAATAAGATTGAAGATTGAAGACCTGATAATGATAAAGTCTCTAAATATGAAATTTTATAAGAAACAGAAAATACTACTCAAAAAGATAGATGGATCTATACCTGAACTTATAATTGATAGTGAAAGGATTGTTAGTGAGAGTATGCATGAGTTTTGCCAGAACTGTGAATTGAACTCTGGCGAACATGTTTTTCCTTTTAAGCTTAAACTCAAATATGAAGAAAATGGTACTGGAACGGTAAAAGGATATTTCTATGATTCAGTTTGTCAAATTGAAAATATTTGTGTCTTAGAAGGTATATGCATAGCCTACAATTCTAAATATTCAACCAAAAAAATAGTATCAATTTTTGATAAAAATGAAGAAAAATGTCAAACCGACTTCAAAATTAAGACAAATACTTTTCTGTGTCTTTTTGACAAAACAATACCTTATAGAATACTGCTTGATAAATTATGGTATATTAGAGGAGATAGCATTTCTGTTGATTGCTTTTCAATTGTTAAAACATCTCAACCCGTGGTAGCAAGCGTTTCTGGAAAGCTATATCAACTTGTAATCATTAATTGGCCAGAACATAACATAATCAAATCAAAGTTAATGTGTATATCAAATGGATTTCCTTCAAATAAAAATCGATTTAAATTGCAGTTTAGAATTCCAATGAATACAGGCCCAAGTATAACAGAGAAGGAGTTTGTAGTAAGAACAGTTATATTTTTTGAGTTAAAGCTTTATAACGGTTCAGTTCTCAAAATTAAAAAATATCTAAATATAGGAGAACCATATTTTGAATTGCCTGATATTGAAAATAAAAGTTTTGCGAAGGGAATTACATTTTCGGAGAGAATATTAGAATACTAACTTTGAATAAATACTATCATATTTCTTTCATTTGACTACGTTTAGTTGGTATTTTGGTGTTTGTTAAATAGATGAGCTTATGTATTTTTAGTGAAAACTATATATTATTATCAAAACTCCTGATATTATTATAGATGAACTTTATCTATAGTCATAATTTATATAGAGACATTTTTTACTTTAAAATTTTTTAGAAATCTTAATAAACCCATTCGTCCTCCTATACAATGAATAGTTTACAGCGCTCGAAAATTATAAAAATAATATTTATAGTACTATTGCTGTTCATGCTAATTCCTGGAAGCATATTGATATGTTATAGCATTCTTAAATCTGATGTAGAGATTTTTAACGAAGATATTCCGTCAATTGAAATGCATCTTACTTCTTGTGGAATTGATAACATAGGAAACACATGCTTTTTCAATGCATGTATGCAATGCATCCTTTCACTTCCTGCATTTGTCAATTATTTTTCTACTGAGACATTTAATTCTGAAACTCAGCCCATTTCTATAGCCTTCAAAAACTTTATTGAAGATTATAAAAAGTCTGAACAATCAGTAAATCCAAAAAAGTTTATCGAAGTACTTAAAGGAAGAGAGACAATGGCAAATCTTTTTAACAGGGAAGCCCAAGATGCAAGTGAATATTTGATACAGTTCATTGAAACTATACATCTGGAAATTGTTGAAAGAGAAACTAAATCCTCCAATTTAACATCTGAAGATATTAAAAATCTAGATATTATTGGGAGATGGTTTGGAATTATATGTGAATATAGTATAAAATGCCAAGAATGTGAGAATACTATAATTACTAATACACTAGAAAGATTTCTGAAGTTAAACATAACAGAAGGTGTGCAAAAATCCATAGATAACTTCCATCAATCAGTAATTATCAACGACAAAGATTATGAATGGGAGTGTAGAACACAAAATTGTGGAAATATTATACATTTAGACACTAATTCAATCAAATCAACCCCAAGATATCTGATTATTTACAATAGAACACTCATAATAGAATCTAATGAGGATTGTAATGTTAAAATTTATATTGATCAAAATATTAAAATCAACAATACTGAATACAAACTTATTGGTGTGATATTTTATGAAAGAAGGCAAAGACATTATTATGCAATATGTAACAGGAACAAATGGATAATATTCAATGATGCTTCATATAACCAAAATGCAAAATTTTCTGCAAAATCTAATTCAGTATACATGTTGTTATATTCCCAAATTTACTAATAGTTTTTTAATCTTGAAACTGTCTTTCTAGTTTTTTATATGAAGTTTGTTGATAAACACTAAAAATATAGTTCGCAAAGTTAATACTCTTCTTTCCGTGTCTAAATTATAAATAACCATGAGACAATTACAATACTAGCTTAGTCTGCAAAGAAAGTTCTGTTTACAGAGTTCCACACATAATTTATTGCATTTATATTATATATTTTATATTGAAAATATAGAACTACGTGTAGTAACTAATGAAATGCTACGATTTTGATGTTTATTTGCCCATTTTTGCTTTTTTAA